GTCTCCTGAAGCGGGGCACGGCGACCATCTGACACGACGATCAGACAGCGGCAGAGTGCATAGCCGGGCAGGGGTGGCCTGTCGGAACAGGACAGTGTGTCAGACACAGACAGACAGACAGACAGACAGACAGACAGACAGACAGACAGACACAGACAGTGTCAGACAGCGGCAGAGCGCATAGCCGGACAGGAGAGGGCCAGAGGCCTGTCAGAACAGTACAGTGTCAGACACAGTGAGCAGACAATGTGTCAGACACAGCGTTAGACAACTAAGTACATAACTCGAACAGAGAGAAGTCTATCGGAACAGAAAACATGATCTCGTAACAGACCAATTACATAGGGCACCGATGGAAGACATTTAAAGCCCGCGCCCCGTAGGGGGGGCCGAAACGGCCCCCCCCTGTCCTTTTCGGTCGATATCTCCTAAACAGCTGGAGATATCGCCACCAAACTTTCAGGACCCCTCCGGGCATTAATTTTACACATTGTTACAAAAAAAAAAATCCAGAGGCTATGATAGGTAAGCCACAAATGACGTCAGAATGACGTCATGTTCTGTTATTTTCGACCGAAAAAAGACCTTCGCGAGAAGACCTGTCAGGCCTACAGCTTTGAAGATACAGAAAAATGATCGAGACATAAAAGGTGTAGAATTGACAGGGCTACAAAACTGTTATCTCGAATTTTTGAAATTTTTGAGTTTTGACCCCCAAAAATCAAAAAGGCATTTTTTGGATATATTAGCTAAAAATCCAAAAAGTTTTTGAGTTTCGAAAAAACGGAATATGTGTGATAGTACCTACCGTCTTCTATCTACATACCAAATTTCAGATCGATATCTCGTTTTTTGGCCAAGTTATAGCGAAAAAACTGTTTAAAAATGATGACGTCAAATTTTCAAACTCAATTTTTGGCAATTCTAGACCTCGTAGAGCAAAACAAAGACCACCATTAGACTCCCCGTGACGAGCTGCATCGGATGGATACCCATTTTATGCAAAAATATCAACTTTGAAATTTGACCTAATTTGACCTGACCTTGACCTGACCCTCACCAAAACGTGACCTAGGCTGGCCCCAAAGACTGCCTAGCCCACATAATCGCATTTGTCATGTAAAATGAACCATAAAACATGCATCACACGACACTTTCATAATGTGACCACCGATGACCTGACCTCGCTGTGACCTGACCTGATATCAGTTACCTCAGATAGCAAAGTATGTGTTTGACGAACAATGTACCATCGATGGTTTTCAATAAATTACCAATTTACTCGATTTCACAACACATTTCTTGAAATGCCTGTGAACGGTGAAAATCTGACATTTGACCTGACCTGTGACGTCATCGGTTTGACCTAGGTCAATGAAATTTGGTCACAAGGTAGTTCCCGGGTGGGGCTATCGAACGCCGTTTGAATTTTGAAAATCGGCCGGTAACTTTCCGAGATCTTAGGGGGGGGGGGGGCGAAACGGCCCCCACCCCCTACGGGTGGTAGGGTCCGCCGGTAGCCCTACGGGGCGCGGGTTAACCCTCGCATGTGTGCGGCGTTTGCCAGCTTCTAATGTGTAGGGGGGGGGGGTCGGTTGGACCCCCCCCCCCTTGCCGTTTGGCCCCTGATCAAGCTAGAGCTTCGCGGAAAAAACGAGCGTGTTGCCCGTGACGAGAGGAAGCCGATGATACCCAATTTTAACCCGCGCACCGACGGGGGGGCGGATATCCGCCCCCCTGAGGTTTTTCGCGGATAGCGGGAAAACCGCGGCGCGTAGCGCCGCGAAATTTGGTATGACTATTCTCTCATCAATTTTACACAGGGTGTGCAAGTTTGAACCTCCTAACTTTTAAGGTCAGGTCACCAGGTCACTTTGAATGACCCAACCTCAAGTCACTTTTTTGCAACTTTGTCACCGTGCCAGAGCTACAGTAGATGTCGGAGGCCTTTGAAAGTCGCAGGATGTTATTAGGTCATTAGTAGCTACAATTTGTATATCTCGGAATTTTGATGTCGGTGACCTAAGGTCAGGTCAATTTCGCGACCTCCCCATTATAAGTCAATGGGGGAAAAATCAACTCCCTGTTTTTACCACTAAAACGGGTCGGAATGGCCCCAACCATACATGACTTCACATACGATCAACCTTCACTACCTTGAGGTCTGTTTTGCTGTTGGGCAGCTGTAAGGTCATGTGACGTCATCAAAGGTCACCAAAGGTTTTTTGCCAATAACTCCTTACAGGAACAAGATACAGTCGCGCGGATGGTCTCATTGTGTTCAGCTCGTCAAGACGCATCGAATGATATACATGATGACCTCGAGGTCACGTGACCTGAGGTCAACCTTTGACCTTGACCTTTCGAGGTCAACATATATATCATTCGATGCGGATTGACGAGAGGATCACGATGATGCCCTTAGTTTGTTCCTATCTTGACTACTTCGAAAGTTATTCGAGAAAAACCCTCTCCATGTCTAGCGCCGCCATTTTGACTTTTTCGACCCCTGTGACGTCATCTTTGACCTGACCTGAAAATGACCTTAGTAAAAATTGTAGACCTTGTCCGTGCGTATCCGATGCCGTTTACCGCTTGTCGCTATCTTGCTTCGTTCTCGAGATCTCAGGGGGGGGGCGGTCATCCGCCCCCCCCCCCGTCGGTACTAAGGTGGCGCAGACCCCCGTCGGTGCGCGGGTTAAGGTCCTAGGTCATTGGTTGACCTTCCAGGTCAGGTCAATGACCCAAAGTCGGGAAAATCGGGACCTGTTAGAAAGTCGTAAAGTGTGGGTGCTAAGGGGTTTTTCGGGATGCTGATCACGAATATCGTGTTAGTTTTGATCACAGATGATGTCTTGAAGCATTTAGACCAGGTCGGGTCAGGTCAGGTCAGGTCAACCAGTAGGCGTCGTGACGGGTATTCGTAGTACGTGTCAACCGCCTCTGACAGCTTCGTAACATGTTACGAAGTCACCAAAACTACTTCGTAAATGTTCAAATGGTTGCTAAATTCGAATTCAGCTCCAAAAACTAGAATAGGAACATGTAAAACTCGAAAAAGTGACCCGAGGTCACCCGAGGTCACCAAAGGTCAATGACCTGACCTGACCTTCAGGTGACCTTGACACACACGGGAGTAACATCAAATCACATGTTTGAACGTTTGAAACCACGAAAAGCTTGCAAACACGCGGCTAGTGCGAGCCGACATACGCGAAATCGCGATTCCGGCCAAACATGGTCTCGGAAAAGAGGTCACAGGTCAAAGGTCATTTGGGTCAGGGTCATGAAATTTTCAGGGTAGGTGTAAAATTGATCAATGCGAGGGTACTGAAAGTTTCGTCGCGATCGGCCGCTTTTTACGCGAGTTATTCGCGAAAAACCATGGGGGGGGGGGTCCATCCGACCCCCCCCCCCTACCATGCGAGGGTTAAGAATGGGAAGAAGCTGCACACCAGAACATTCAGCCTGTCTTTGACAGATCACACTTGTCTAGCCAACCTGGATTGAGTCATGAGTACCTCGGTATCAAAGTGCTTCGCTTGGATAAAACTTTTTGGTTATTTGAATAGTTATTCTTTTTAATGCAGTTTATGTCTTTGAGTCCCTGTTTCAATATATTCATTGTAAATGTTGGCTCGCATATTTACTACAGTTACCATTAAAGATATTCATTACAAGACGTAAATAACGGTATAACTTTCCTTTATTTCAGGACGTCAGGATCCTAGTTTTTGTCAAGCCACCTATTTTCTGTCATGTTTTTCTTCCCATGGCCACGTCGGAGACAGATCCCATCAACTATTTACCGTGTTAAGCACGATCTGCGCGTCGACGGGACATGTGTAAGTGTCTCGCATACATGAATCGGTAACGACCTGGCGTGCGGGCCGCCGGGATAAGTGGGCGTCCGTCCCACCGCGCCGCGCCGGCCGGCCGCCAGCCAGCCACCCATTGGCTCAGGGACGCTGAATAACATGGCTAAACGAATGAATACTGATGGCGGCGGCACGCAGCACCGCGGCGGCAGCGCGACAGCCGCTGGCGCGTCAGCGCGTCCGAACAGGGGGAGCGAGAGGGTAGGGTCGGTGACTTGATGTGATGCGTGAGGCACGTGACTTATTCCTTGTTATGACGCTCTCGGAGCAACGCTCCATATGTCTTACTGTTTTCATGCACTTTTTTATGTCTCGTCTGATATTTATCAAAGCGTTGCTTCGTTTTAAGTGTATTTCTGTTCGTCAGTGGGCATCCTAATTAAAATAAACTTGAAAAAAAACATTTCAAACGTTTATGATAAATTTAGGTAATATCTGTACCTACTACATAGCCTGTCCCATTGCTGAGTTGGTAGAGCGTGGACTCGTAAGATCCCGTTGTAGAGTAGCCCCGGCGATCGGTTTGTGACGCTCCTGACAGGAATGGTATGACTCAGTATGAGGTTAGCGGACCAGCTGCAGTCAGCTGAAGTCAGACTGTGGGTCAGGCTCAGACCGAGTCCGCTTTTATGGACACGCTAAACTTTGGCATATAAATTCTTCTGTTACTCGCAATCTCACGCTCACACGGTAGGGATATGGGCCTACGCAATAAGCATGGCTTGGCAGGAGTCTGGCTCCGTCAGCACGTCCTTTTCAATATTCGAGTTATATTTACAAAGACATATAATATAAGATTAAGGCCTCATTAGAAAGTCATGCAATAACTATCGTTTGATTAATAATGCTACATATATTTAAAAAAAATATTCAACGATCCCTTCCGACGATCATCGGTTGCAACGCGTTTGAAACGATACAATGCGATGACGCTATAAACTGCAAATGAGCCGCTCTCTTTAGGAAATGAAGCATCCCATTGGATGAACCCAAATCAGTATCATTCATTAGCTTAAGTGGAAAATATGGGAAATAAAATTCTGCTGACGTTCGTCCCCGAAGTGAGGAGACCGTTTCGGTGAGCTTATCAGTGAAATTCCAATGAATGAGTGGCCAATGGTTACCGGTTCGCCACCAGTGGCTGCTTCTTATGCAGAGTATCTGCCATGTTTCAGTCTATAGAAAAATCAAAATATCGCGGAGCATTGAGTATGCATAAGTCAAGCAAAGCAAATTAGATTTCGGCCGCACGGCTGTCAATATTAGCTGCCATTACAGCCGCTCCTCGTGACCTCGTAACAGCTATAAGGCCACTGTTCATAGTTCACATATCGACACCTTTTTTTTAAACCCCACATCTGCTCTCCCGTGAATTTCCGGGAGGCACGAAAGATCTCCTTTTAAAAGTGTCCAATCGTCCGATCCTGGTCAAATATGTGTGTTCGTAGGCCTGTTCTGGTATTGCTTTATCTGCCAAGACAGACAAACTTGAGAAAATTCGAGTGATTGTACCTTTTTTGAAGGTCTCTAACCAACTTGTCTGAAATTCACCGGAGAACAAATGTGGGGTTTAAAAAAAGGTGTCGATATATGGCGGCTTTTATGAGAACGGGATATTCACTGTTTGCAGTTATTCCGCATTTTCTATTTCCATCGGAGTGTTTAATCTATCGCTGCCTAAAACAGCAGTCTTGAATGAGGGAAAAGAACACGACCACGTGTTAGTGTGTTCACGCCGGGACAGCAGACTGAGCGTTTAGGTGACCTTTGGGCTTTGGGCCTCGAAACTTGTTGGTTATCACGTCGTCGTGATAGCCTCTGGTATCCACGACCGAAAGGCTTCACATAATTGCAAAACTCGGTCGGCAAGCGCTGGCCGTTGACGCAATATCCTTTCTAAGTTCCTCCACCACCGGAGCTAAGGCATCTATGCCACTGCCGCTAGATGGCAGCAGCTGTTGTAACCTGGAAGTTAGACTGTGCCGCACGACTCTGGGTGCCTCCGCGCAGCCGGAACGGCGCTTCGGCTTGGGACACCCGTGCCAATGACGCCCAGCGAGTATTTAGAAATGGGCGTGAGGGTAGGCCGCTGCACTTTAGGGGCCGCCAATGACACCTGTATGAGCTTTTCAAAACACCACATCAATTTCAGGACTAAGATTCACAGGTCAATGTCTATCAATATTGTAAATAGGTATCTGGAGGCTGCACACTTTTCGTTAAGTTGCGGATCATGGCAGGAAAGGCAGCTTTCACGTAGTTCAAGATTAATCATCATAAGATAAAGCGATATGACCATTGCCCAATAAGCAATATGCTGGCAATATTTGTAGTAGTGGATAGCACATTAGGCATCATGTGCCTGAATGTGGCGGGTTAAAGCGAAACCCGAAAGGCTTTTTTCATATATAGGATTCAGTGCGAGTAGATGTTTGTTATACATAATCGCTACTTCTACGCTCTTTGAATTAGCATTCAACCGGAGATCATTCTCTACCAGTGCGGCTGCTGTTTCAACCAAAAGTTTATTTTTGGCAGAATGTGTAATCTAGTTGGAGTTTAACAACCAAATGTGCTTCCACATGTTGAATAGAACAAAGCAATTTGCATCAGCGTCTCGCTCTCACCCAGGACGCCGCAGCCCGCACCTCGTCCTCACGCCTCGCTGAGTCCAGGCCACATCTCTGCCGCAGATAACTGGGAGCTCCGGCCGGGCGGGTGTCTCCCCGCCTCTGCAGCCGCGGCTCTGGGCGAGCTGTTTTAACAATGCCACGTGAACCGCTCCCTAATGAACCCGGTGGCCCGTTTGTCTCGCTGGTGAAGTGGTGTGCGCCGCTCCTGGCGAGGCCGCACGGCTCGCCGGCAGACCGGTCCGGAGGAAAATGAGCGGCAGTTACCGAGGCAGCGGCACGCTACAGCTCCCAGCGACAGCCGTTAGGCGCATCTTTAGGGAGCAGAGGGAGGTTTCCACCGCAGTAAAGTATTCTTATACTTTGTTCCTCGTATTTTCAACTTATTGGTAACAATAGCATTCAAGTTAGCCGTGGATGTGGAATGTTGCACGGAGGCTTGTAAGTTTCATTTCTGTCTAGTTCTGTGCATATGCTGCTAGGGGCTTATAAACTTCCCTGGCAGATAATGTTATTCCGCGTGAAAATAGAACGAAGAGCTGTAATGAAAAAGCCACATATACCTATCTTCGTAGGAGGGGAAACCATTAACTCTAATTAGCACGCATGTGTGTCCCCATGTTAGTGGACTTCGCCGACTTTATTATCTGATCACGAGCGAGCACGAACGTTTTCAATACGAGTGTAACGGAAAATATCAGTAGAGTGGTCTACAACCATATACATATCTGATAAATCACATCGAATCCGGACAGCTAGAAACGTTACGATGCCGCCTGGAAGCGACCAGGATGTGCGTGCCTGTCCGCGCTGTGCGCAACTGGAGCCAGCTGCATAACAATGTTCGCGGAAACGACAAAGTCAGTCATTTTAAAAAGCTGTGAAAGCGCCTCTAATGTCAGTGAAGTAGCCTGTCGGCGATGACGACTGCCACCCACTTACATACTGCGCACCGACCTCTCAGCTCCACCGTCTCAAGTTTTTCATGCTAGCGTGTCAATGTTTTTTTTTTTACGAGTTTCAACCTTTTCAATGTTTATGTACTATAATATGTTTTTTACCTATCTTATACCTCGGTTGCACATTGTATGTCACACTGTGGTTTAAAAGCCAGTCATGTATTGGATACCACAAAGACCCGCAATAAATAAGTAAATAAACAAATCATTTTGAACATATGGCCAATCACTTCATGCCAATGAACTCCACGCCAACTGATTGTCCTAAATTTTCACTTTCCAAAGTGTGCTTATTCATGAAACAATAAGCAGACGAATCTACAAACACAGCCTATCTTATTATAGTCAGCATTGCACCCGAGACGGAACATCTCTTTTTTATCAAATCGTCAACCCCCGCATTCTTCCAGCACTATCCACCACTCCCTGGCCCTTATAACATTCTACTGCCCCCTCTCATGTGTCATATACCTTGACTCTTTAAGTGTCCTCCCCTGAACCCTTTATTGTCGACCCCTGCAACAATATGATGTCCTTCCTGCACCTATACAGCTCTCGTGAACCTTTCCAATATCTCTGCGCACCTTTCCAGTGCCCCTGTAAGTTCCAGTACCCTGATGTACCCTTCCATTGTCGACTCTTCCACCTTCCAGTGCCCCTGTACCTTCCAGTGCCCACCAATTCTCCTCCAGTGCCCCTGTACCTTCCAGTGCCCACCAATTCTCCTCCAGTGCCCGCTGTACCTTCCAGTGCCCAGCAATTCCCCTCTAGTGCCCCCTGTACCTTCCAGCACCAACCACTCCCCCTCCAGTCCCCCGCTAAACCCCTCCGGCACCCCGCTGTACCTTCCAGTGCTGACCACTCCCCCTCCAGTGCCCCGCTGAACCCCTCCAGTGCCCCGCTGAACCCCTCCAGTGCCCGGCTGAACCCTTCCAGCACCCCGCTGTACCCTCCAGTGCTGACCACTCCCCCTCCAATGCCCCGCTGAACCCTTCCAGTGCCCGCTGTACCTTTCAGTGCTGACCACTCCCCCTCCAGTGCCCCGTTCACCCACCTGAGTCAGCGGTGGAGCGTGGCGCGCGGCGCGGCGGTGGCGAGGCGGCCCCGCTGGCTCCCCACGACCGGCCCACCCATCTCGTAGTACGCACTATTGATTGGCACCGGTTCACGCACACCACCGGCCGCACTCGACCGGTCACTGCCCCCGCTGGACGACGGCGCACTCACTGCACAGGACCACCGCGAGGTGCGCGCGCGATCTCCGCCGTGCGAGTCGGGCGCGGGATGAGGTGCACGACTACGCGGCGTGCACGGGACGGCGTGCACTGGTGGCGGGCGGCGGCGGGCGGTGACGAGCCCGGCGGCGGCGGCGGCGGCGACGGCGGCGGGACGGAGCGGTCGGCGGCCACGGCGGCTGCGCCGTCGGCGGCGGCGCCCGTCGATCAATAATGGGAGCGGCGCGCGGCCGGCCCGCCGGCCCGGGCAGGTGGTCGGAGGCCGTCTGAAGCCCGGCCGCCGCGCCGCCGGTGGCGACACTTTCCCGCGGCCACCCCGCCGAGCCTCAACAATGGTGCAGCCGAGCGCCCGGGGCCAGACGACTACATGTGGGGAGAGCTAACACACACCATACGGCATTGCTCGCCTCGGGCGGAGACGGGCTGGAGGCATTCCAGAGGCCCCGCATAAAGGCCTGGCTACACTATGCGTTTTCTTCGTGCGTTTTTTGCGTGTTTGCGTGTTTTGCGTGATATCGTTCTAGAAAAAGGAACGATATTACGTTTTTGTGATGTTTTTCACCTTAAATTTTAGTTACATAATAGTTATATTAGCTTTTGTATATAACCAAAGTAAAAATTATATTGTTTATAACTTTTTTCCTAGAACGATATTACGCAAAACACGCAAACCTGCAAAAACGCACGCAGAAAACGCATAGTGTAGCCAGGCCTTAACAGTCCATCCCTAAAATAAACGCACAGCAGCAGCCTCTATTGATTTATATTTTGCCGTAAGTTAGAATACTCATCGCATTATAGAGGAAAATCGTCAAAGCATGTTACGCTAAAAAGGAATCACGTCAATATTACTTACAAAATTGTTCTATTTTTACTAACCGTTTCGTGAAGCTGGGGTAATTTTTAGCACTAATTCCTCGTAATTTATTCTCGTACATTTTTCGTTATGCGCAATCCACAAGCAAGTCCAAAACCATTTTTGCTTACCAGATGACAAAGAACACGTAACCTATTATTTGCTACATTGTGCTACATGACATATAGGCGCTTTTGCTGAAACACTTTTCTAAATGTTTTGAGCAAACATAATGAGATTGTGGAATGAATACTAAAATTATGGATGGACGTTTTTCATGACGTGCTCATGAAAAAGAAAACTAATTTTAAAACAGAATGTATCTCTCCGATTATATACGAGGTCCAATATGAGCTTCGTATGAGGTCCTCGTATAGGTCCAATATGAGCTTATTTATGTGTCTTACATATATCCGTTCAGCCAGACTATGGACAATTGTATTATAGATATCCCGCGACCTGGTGGGGGGGGGGCTATTTTTTGCCCCCCCTCCAGACTTTTCGATATATCTCCAGAACCGCTGCGCCGATCGTCACCAAACTTTCAGTACCCTCCCGGACATCAATTTTACACATTGTGACCAAAAATTTTCCAACAGCTATAATAGGTTGGCCGGAAATGACGTCAGAGTGACGTCATGTTCTGCCGTTTTCGACCCAAAAAAGGGTTTCGCGGGAAGAGCTGTCAGGCCTATAGCTTTGCAAATACAGAAAAATGATAAAGACATAAAAGCTGTAGATTGGACAGGGCTACAAAACTGCTATCTCGGATTTTTGAAATTTTTGGATTTTGACCCCCAAAAATCAAAAAATAGATTTTTTGGATATAATAATCGAAAAATCCAAAAAGTTTTTTGAATTTCGCAAAAACCGGAATATATGTGATAGTCCTTACCGCCTTCCATCCACATACCAAATTTGAGATTGATATCTCTTGTTTTGGCGAAGTTATAGCGAAAAAACTGTTCAAAATTGATGACGTCAAATTTTCAAACTCAATTTTTTAGCAATTCTAGACCCCGTAGCGCGAAACAAAGACCACCATTAGACTCCCCGTGACGAGCTGCATCGAATCATTACCCATTTTATGCAAAACTATCAACTTTAAAATTTGACCTTTTTTGGCATGACCTTGACCTGACCTTGACCTGAACTTCACCAGAGAATGACCTAAGCCGTACCTGATAGTCTTATAACCAACACCATTGAGTTGGAAATGAAAAATTGGCCATAAAACATGTATCACACAACCTTAGTAAAGTTGGGCTCATGTGACCTGACCTGTGACCCTTGGTGACCTGACCTGTGACCTGACCTGGTATTGCTAGTGACCTCTAATAGCAACATATCTACTAAGCAACTGACGCCTTACCGCTGATTCTCGAAAAAAATGCGTTTTCCTCGGTGTTATAGCGCATTCCCTAGAAGACCCGTGAACGGTGAAACATTTCATCTTTGACCTGACCTGTGACGTCATCGGTGACCCCGAGGTCAATGAAATTTGGTTTCCTTCGACAAATTTGACAGGCCTTTCGAACGCCGTTTGAATTTTGCGGATCCGTCCAGTAGTTTCGGAGATACGAGGGGGGGGGCAAAAAATAGCCCCCCCCACCAGGTCGCGTTATAAACAGACCCCACCAGGGCGCGGGATATGGAGCAGTCTCAGACTTAATTTGATATAATTTGATATAATTAGATAATTTTGTATGACCATATTCTGTTATGGTCATTTCTAACTTGAAATATCCAAAACATGGTAAGTAAGGCTCTCAGGCGCCTGAAACTTATACTTGTTCCAGACAAATTTATCACGAAAGAGCCCCCCCCCCCAAAAAAAAAAACCTGCAGCCAAACGCGGTTCCTGAGGGCCGGTTCAACTAGTTTAGCTCTCAGATCAAGCTGCTCTCTTTGTTTCTTCACCCGTTCACAGCTTCTGGCCTTCACACCTGTGCAGGTCAACATAAACGTTTACCAGACGCGATAAACTGGTTTCTTTTGCACTTCTGGAATGCAGTAAATACTGCTTCATGTTGCGGACATTTTTTCATAACCTGAAGAGGAGCCAAATCTGAACAGGAAGTTTAAACTTCTCGGTAGTGTACTGTTACCCTCCCCGGCCGAGGCAGGAAAAAGGGTTTGTATTTGATGTCATCGAGGTTATCGAAATTTCTCGGAACCAGCCGTCTGTCAAATTTAACTATCGACTTAGTAAGTCACGAAAACCTTTATGAAACCAGAATGCAGCAGTCAATTCAAATAATGCATCAATTGATCACCCTTGACTAACCTCCTGATCTAAACGACTTTGACCTCTCCTGACATTAGGTCAATGCCCAGTTGAATTTCTCCCAAACAAAACTTGCATTTTTATCCCGCGCCCCGTTGGGCTCTGCCGAGCAACGCGCCCGGTTGAGGGGGGGGGGCATTTTGCCCCCCCCCCTAAGATCTCGAGAACCACGCAACCTAGCGACAAGCGGCAAACGGTGTTGGATAGCCCTATCAAGGAACTACCTTGTGACCCAATTTTATTGACCTAGGTCAAACCGATGACGTCACAGGTCAGGTCAAAGGTCCAATTTTCACCGTTTACAGGCATTTCAAGAAATGCGTTGTAAAATCGAGTAAAATGCATTTCATTGAATATCATCGATGGGGAAATGTTCTTCAAACACATATTTTGCTATTTGAGGTCACTGATACCAGGTCAGGTCACAGAGGTCAGGTCACGGGGGGGTCACAATATGAAAGTGTCGTGTGATACATGTTTTATGGTCCATTTTACATGACAAATGCGATTATGTGGGTCAGGCAGCCTTTGGGGCCAGCTTAGGTCACGTTTTGGTCAAGGTCAGGTCAAGGTCAGGTCAAGGTCAGGTCAAATTAGGTCAAATTTCAAAGTTGATATTTTTGCATATAATGGGTATCGACTCGATGCAACTCGTCACGGGGAGTTCAATGGTGGTCTTTGTTTTGCTGTACGTGGTCTAGAATCGCTAAAAATTAAGTTCAAAAATTTGACGTCATCATTTTTAAACAGTTTTTTCGCTATAACTTGGCCAAAAAACGAGATATCGACCTGAAATTTGGTATGTATATAGAAGATCGCAGTGACTATCACATATATTCCGGTTTTTTCGAAATTCGGAAAAATTTTGGATTTTTTTAAAGTTTTTCTTAAAAAAAAATCAATTTTTTGAATTTTTTTTTGGTCAAAAACCCAAAATTTTGAAAATCCGAGATAGCAGTTTTGTAGCGCCACCGTTTGTCTACTAGACCATATAAAGAACTTTGAAATCGCTTGATAACTGTAGATTTGGTGAGCGTTTCAAGATTGCATGTTTTTTGCTCATTTTTGCTCGAACATGACCTCAGTTTGACCTCAATAACTCCTGACCTAAGGTGACCTCAGACTTGAAATTTGGCGTGAAGGTGTCAAATTGATGCCCGGGAAGGTACTGAAAATTTGGCGGCGCTGCGCGCCGCCGTTTTCTTGCTATTCAGGAAAAACCACAGGGGGGGCCAAAATGCCCCCCCCCCCAACGGGGCGAGGGTTATCCCTCGCCCCGTTGGGGGGGGGGCATTAGACTGCATGTGACAAACGCTCTAGGTGCTAAGCAGCATCTCTGCCCTGTGACTGTTTTTGGGGAAGTTATCAACTATAATAGAAATTGTATCCTTCCTTGTGGTCTTTGACCTGACCTCAGAGGTCACCACCCCGGTTGCACTGAAATCTTGAAATTGGTTACCAGTCGCTGCATCTAGTCATGACGCTCACGGTCATCTTTTTTAGGCGAGTCTCTAGCTTCAGTAGGGGAGAAATGGCAAGGAAGGGAGCAAGGAATAACGGATCGAGTGGTAGGATACCACTGCTTTTTGCATGAGTCTGGCCGCACCGCCGCCCGGGGCGTGTGTAGCGAACTAATGAGTTCGTAAGACACACATGGGTCGAAAGCGGTGCTGTAACAGCCAGTAGTCACCCCGAAGATTCGTATTAACATGCCTCATTGCTTTGCCTATAGCGAAATCCATGTAGCGTGCCCCTGGGGCTCGTTTTTCAAAGCGAGCCCGTAACTTGCGGCGGTTTTGGTCTTGTGCTGCAAGTGCATGTGAAGCGAGGACGATAGTTTGAATCGTTGAATTTATTTATCTTTCAAGCAAGAACAGAAGGGAAAAGGGGAAATAAATTTATCGCTTCATAGACGCTTGCAATACAAGCCTAAAAACCGGCGTAAGTTACGGACTCGCTTTATGAAACGAGGCCCTGGATGCTAGCCTCGCCTGCAGGCGCTGCGGCTGCCGAACGAACCATTGTTCGCTGTGGGACGCGGGTAGATGGCGGTCCCGTCGCATTCTGCTTTAGCTCTGGTAGTGCGTCAGGAACTTTCTTCGTCAACTGAGAGGATGGCAAGCAAAGGCTCTAGGGAGATGTGTGCTGGGGACTGAGTGAGTCCTCTACTTAATCATCACGCTTGCGAACCAATGCGCATTATATTAACAAATAAAGCCACACCGAGATAACATTGCACAATATCTCACCAAAATACATCTCAATTTTGCACCCTGCAATGACTCACTGCATCGCAAAACAACAGCGTGATTCACGAAACATGGGTAATAAGTAGCATAGTATGAGAAGCATAGTGGCAGTTGGCAACGAAGCACACTCGCGAGCGTGCTTTACCGACCGAGCGCTCGGCAGCGCCCCACGAGCAGCATCGGCGAATTATGTTAATGTCGCGCTGCACCAGCCGTGTCCTGTGTTCAAGAAAGATCCACCACAGCTTTGCTGGTGGTGTTCTTCCTCATGTAAGTACCAGTAGCAGGTCAGATATATCACAACTCATCGTTACTCAGCTATCGCTCGCAAACCCATCAAACTAATTTCATAGCATATCATAGGTCATCACTCATCAGTGCTTTTTGGACATGAGGGGAGGTGCAACAGTAGGTACGTTCCTTGGTAGGACTATGTGAAGAACTACGTTCACATTTGTTAATCCCGAATGGAATCAGCGCCAGTAACAGACAGACCTAAAGGGTTGCTGTACTTAGTCCCAAAAGCAGTCCAGACTGATCGACTGTAAGCACTGTGACGGTCGCTCAGAAGCGGATAGAAAAATACCGAGCAGGCACACAGAAAACGTGCGAGACACGCTGAGAGCACTTATCCACGACAGTTTCCACAGAGAGCTCTCACAGACGCCAGCAGGGCGCGGCGAGCGCGGCGCAGCGACGACACAGAAGCACAGAGCACACGGCGCGTCACTGCAGGAGGCGGCCGGCAGGTCGACGGCCGGCCGGCGCGAGGCACGAGGCGGGGGCACCCTGCGGGCGCCACCACCACGGCCGGCCAGCCGCCGCAGCCGCCCCTCAGCCCACCGATAGACCCCTCGGCCGCCGCGTCGGGCGCGCGAGCAGGGCGCGACACATCGAGATAATCGGAGAAGGCTTGTACGGTTCAAGAGACAACATCAGGCACTGCACAGTTTCGATAGGCGCTGCACAGCGACAGTAGGCGACGCACACTCACAGTCTCGCTGAATGCTATATAATTGCGTAAAGCACCGCTGCCACAGTAATCGCTCAGATGCGTTACACAACAGCAGGTGGCTTGCACTTCCACCAGACTCCTCTACATAGCTGGGCCACTTAACGCATTCCAGGCCTTACGAGTGGGGTGGGTCAGGATCGTGACATATATCATGAACATCTCGGCAAAAATAATAGCAAACATATTATATTGATGACTTGGTCTCGAATACAACAACGCAATATGCGTGTTAAACGTTGCTCCCATCGTGCGGGCGGGCTGGGCCGCGGCTGGCCGGCCGGCCTGAGGCCGACTGCGGCCGGCCGGGCCCCGGGTGCGCGGCGCTGCGGCCGGCTAGCTGACCGTGGACCCCTCGGCCACCACCACCTCCTCCTGGTCAGAGGAGGACGTGTTGGGCATCGGTGACGCCTGCTGACGGCGCGTGTTCCGCTCGCGCCGCCACGACGAGCGGCGCCGCTTCTTCAGACGGCCCCCGTACGTGCCATCCTGGGGGAGGGGCCGGGTCACACGCGGTCAGCGAGGTCAGAGAGGTCGGGGGAGGGGGAGGGGGAGGGGTAGGGCTCTGTCTGAATCAGGACCGCTTTTTTCGGTTAGAGCACCTTTTGTTAGATATGCAGCATGAGCAGTGTGTTCTAACAGCACAGAGATAGTTATTTTTATGTTTTTATTATATCTTATCTATACTCTGTTCCGTTTCAAGCTTGCAGCCGAAGTGCCCTGCTGAAAGCAGTGCGTGATTTCTATATATATACAGTTCTTACATTTTAAGACGCAAATTCTTGAGCGGAGGAGCAATCTGCCGAAGAAACTCCGACTGCAAGCTTGATATGGAACAGACTATAGGCATCCGTTTTGCCATCTACCGTAGTGTTGGACGCCGCCTAGTACCTCGCCCAGCCGTTTATAAACAAGGCTGTAAAGCACGGCGCTGGCTATAAAGCTGGGTCAGATAGGAAGCACGGCTTCCCCTCTGTGCCGTTATGGCATATCGGACCGAGTTTAGGCCCATTAGAGCTCACTGCTCCCGTGGGCATAATTAGAGAGTATTTGAACTGCTGTGTTGTGCCGCCCCGACTGCGGCAGAGCTGCCCGGGAACCGAGTCAGGATGGCATTGCCGTTCTGAACTTCTGAGCGACTCTCTATTGACTACAAACGAGAAATGATTGCGACACAGCAGAAACATATTTGTTAGAAGTGTTTTAACAGTTTTTGAAAATGACTAATCCGTGTAAAAAAAAATCATTTTGATTAACGACAAATTTGGGAATTTAAATAAGTTTAGTCAATATTTATCCCAACAGAGCGCTTCTCTCACGCATGTTTACAAACTCCGTGGTCCGTGCTTGGGTGCTTCTTTTCTTTTCTTTTTCTTTTTACTTGCACCACATTTTAAAAACGTCCATTTCCTGTTTTTATCGCGAAACAAAACAAAAACAGCAAGCACTTTGGGTACGCTAAGTTGTCAGAAATACCTATTTAGGCACGGCTGCTCAATGTCTGCTAATTTTTTCTTTTCATTTTTTTTTTTACCTAGTATTTCTATTTTTGTAATAGATTTCGAGATATCCACTAACAACTATAAGCTACGCTGAAGGTTTATTTTGCTATTCGTTTATTTGTGCCTTTTTAGTCCGACCGCCTGGCTAACTATATGCTGCGGATGCCGCCCGTTTCTCACCTTGTTTGGCGGGAACCTGCCGTAGACGAAGATGAGCGATATGAAGAGGATGAAGCCCAGGACGCACGGGATGAACGTAGTGCAGCGCACGCCGGTCGAGTAGCCGATGTACTTCGAGTTCATCTTCATATCGACTGCAAACACGCAGTTGGTTCAGGTTCTGATGTTACCACGCGTCCAATGCGCCCTATATGGGCCGTCAGTGGACGGGACATTGTCATCGATTTAATCACGAGAAACGAGATTCAACAGCCAATGAGTGCTGACATCGTGCATTGGTTGGTAGCGATGCGACATCTTTGAATAGCTAAAAACAGAACTTTACCATTTTGCTTTCACTGAGCGGTACGTCCAGTTGATACTTCTGGTCAGTACGTGGTAGGTACTTAGTACTGGCTACAGGGTACTGACTGGGTAGTGGGTACTGGGTACTTGCGTACTCACCCAGCCGGTACACCTGATCGGTGCTATTGTCGGTAACGTTGCGGGCGTTGTAGGTCCACAGCGTCAGGTTTCCCGTCAGAAGGATAGACTGGTCCATCACCGTGTGAATCTTGTGGTGCTGGTCTGTGGAAGGTGACAAACCTGTCAGGTTTCCAATCTTGTGGTATTGCTCTGGGGACTGATAGTGGCCAATGTGCGCTCAGAGATGTGAAATGAAGACGACGTATAAATCCTGAAGATACTCCTCGCAAACGGAACGGTGAGCAAGTTATTATTGCTACACATCTACATTTTCTTCTGAAGATCAATGAGCAAGCAACCAGGGCATACACATCGGAACCAGTGGACCAACTTATGACATCGAACCTCTGTATCTAGGTACACCCAGGAGACGCTGATCTGGGGCCCTCGTCCGGCTTAATACGCCCATTTCCTCCATGTTCATTCTCCCTCCATGTTCGTTCTTCAGCCTCTGGACGGACACCCGGTTCGACGGCAGGGGTAAAGTAAAGGAGCCCCTACGATGCAAACTGGCCCCGGCACGACCGTTGGCACCCTCCTGACCACCGTGCTTTCGGGTTTTTCCATTCAGTAACGGCTCACCAACTGGTGGCTGTCTCAGCACAATGCGAACTCCTATCGTGTTATTTTATGTAGTGTCATGAAAATTGAAGTGGTCTTATCAGAACGAAGGGGCTAAAACCAAAAGAGAAAATAGCGTAGTATCTAAATTGTGCAAAATGCAAGAGGTGACAAAAGGGTCTTGTGGTGGAGTGATAAGTTTTCACCTTGTATTAATCATCTGAAAGTAGCATTTCATCTGTGAAAATATGCGTTTTGTCGTACATACCTGTGTATTGGCCGTAATTCCTGGGTACGTAGAAGAACTGGTTCTTCCACATGTTGAGGTCAAGAATCATCACCATGAAGATGATGCCATAGTTGAACCATTTTCCTGAAAAGCATCCACATCAATAAAATAGCTTTATCAAAATGAGCCGTTAACCCTCGCCGGCACAGGCCATTTTGAGTCCTTCGACGGCACAAGGGGGGGGTTGGTACGACCCCCCCTCGCGTTTGGCCCCTGATTGAGCTAGAGCTTCGCGGAAAAAACGAGCGTGTTGCCCGTCACGAGACAAAGCCGATGATACCCAATTTTAAGGTCCTAGGTCATCGGGTGACCTTCCAGGTCAGGTCAATGACCCGAAAACCGGGAAAATCGGGACCTGTTAGAAAGTCGTAAAGTGTGGCTGCTATGTGGTTTTTCGGGGTGCTGATCACGAATATCGTGTTAGTTTTGATGAGAGATGATGTCTTTAAGCATTTAGACCAGGTCGGGTCAGGTCAGGTCAGGTCAACCGGTAGGGGTTGTGACGGGTATTCGTAATACGTGTCAACCGCCCCGGACAGCTTCGTAACATGTTACGAAGGCACCAAAACTACTTCGTAAATGTTCAAATGGTTACTAAATTCGAATTCAGCTCCAAAAACTAGCCTAGAAACATGTAAAACTCGAAAAAGTGAACCGAGGTCACCCGAGGTCACCAAAGGTCAATGACCTGACCTGACCTTCAGGTGACCTTGACACCCACCCTAATGCATGGGGGCAACATCAAATCACATGTTTGAACATTTAAAACCACGAAAAGCTTGCAAACGCGCGTCTAATGCGAGCCGACAAGCGCCGAACCGCGATTTCGGCCAAACATGGTCACAGAAAAGAGGTCACAGGTCAGAGGTCATTGGGGTCAGGGTCATGAAATTTTCAGGGTAGGTGTAAAATTGATCAATGCGAGGGTACTGAAAGTTTCGTCGCGATCGGCCGCTTTTTACGCGAGTTATTCGCGAAAAACCTTAGGGGGGGGGGTGCATCAACCCCCCCCCTGTGCCGGCGAGGGTTAAGTTCTTTGGTTGTCATTCATTCTCAATTCTCACTGACAGATTAGCATCAAACGATAAGCGATTGCCTTTAAAATTCGGCAATGCTGACTTCATGATGACCTTTATTGTATTTATGGATCGACACATTTGTTTCATTTTTTATATATAGACTGTCTGATCTTCGATAGCATAACAGCTTCAAATAATTAATGTTTACAATAGAAACGTAATACCGACTCCTGCCTCATGTTCCTAATGTTTAGTAATGCATATCTCACTGTCCCTCCTACGCCGGGCGGGATTCCAGTCGGTCTCACACATTCCTCCATACGTTATCAATCGTCCCAGAGGTCTGACCTGTCGCCCCCGCGGACAACCGTACTCCGTGGCTCACCCGTGAAGGACAGCTTGGCGTACTTCCACTGGAGCGTGCTGACAGAGAAACCCGGCAGGTTCACGTTCAGCGTGGTCGTAAAGTGCGGAAAGTCCCAGTCCTGCATCACGATGATCAGGTCGCTCACCAGGATGAATGACGCCAGGAAGCCTCGGGACAGCTCTGAAACAGGTCGGTTGTGTCTCGTGTCTATAAAACAGCACTGTGTTCGACCACCGATGACACTCAGACTTGATGCGGGTCGCTTACCAAACCAAAACCATGTGACTCGGTGGGTTACATGACCTGGGGAACGTATTCTTACTTTTGATTATTATCATCATTTGATTGTTTTATTCTTATTATGTAGTTGGACCTGAGGCAGTTGGCCTTCGTTCTGATATACGACGTCTAGGGGGTCGTTTCACGGGCGTAGGAACGTCATGAAAAGTGGGTGGGCCACCCTGTCAAGGGGCCTCCTTTTCCAGGGGGCCTCCTATTTTCAGGGGCCTCCAACTTTTGCCTCGTCTTGCTGGCTGCTTTCAAGTATGACCTCCAAATCTAGCTTCTGAGATCGGGCAGATGTACCTACCCGGGGGCGTAACCGCTTAAGCGAACAGTGCGGAAAGTCCGCGCACCATTTTTAAAACTTATTCCCCCTCCGATTTTTTTTAGAATCTATTTGCCGCAAACGGCGCATGACCCCTGAAAACCCTTACCGCAAATGTCTTCCTCGTTTCCCAGGTGCCCCCATTAGCTTCATAGGCGCCCTCTTTGGCATATAAGCGCCCTATGTATAGTCATCAGAGACATCCCTATATGTCCCACAGTCGCCCCGTTGTCGCATACAATGTGCGCTTATCATAGACGTCTCTCTTTTATGGACACTTGAAGGCGCCTCTCTTTGCCATGCCGGCGCTCCTGTTTCTTATGAATGCACCCCCAGGCCCCATGGCATTGATCAATTGCAGTCTGCAGATCTCTATTGCATGTGGACGCCCATATATGTAGGTTTCAGAGGCGCCCCTATTTCGCATTGAGGCGCCCCTATGGGCTTCATAGGCGCCCCTCTATTGCACGTAGGTGCCCTACTGTCTCAGAACCGCTCCCCTTTGGCATGCAGACGCCCATCTTTCGTACGGAGGAGCCGCTGTGGTTCTTAGAGATTAGACTTAGAGGTGCTCCCAGACGCAGATCGGGCTCTCGGAGTCGACAGTGTGGGACCTTCAGTCGCTGATGGGTGCCCGCCAGATGTGGACCCTCGGAGACGCCGGTATGGGGCCCTCAGAGATGCCGGTATGTGGCCCTTAGAGACACCGGTGTGGAACCCTCAGATACTTCAGTGTGAAGCTCTTACAATTGCTGGTGTGGAGCTATGAATGCGCTGGCTTAAATCGCTCAGAGGCCGGTACATGGACATTAGAGCTCAGTGAGAGCTTGTGTGGTGCCTTCAGTGGCCTTGTGGAGCCGTTAGACATCAACATGGTGCTCTCAGGAGCCGGTGAGTCCTCGGAGTCACTGGGGGCCTTCAGAGCTCCGAGATACTGGTGTGGGGCCCTCAGAGGTGTCGGTGTGGGTCCTTCAAATGTACCTATAGAGCCTTGAGATGCACAGGTGTGGTGGCCCACAGAGGCGCCGGTGTGGGGCCCCCAGAGCCACCGATATAGGGCCCTAAGAGACACTAGTATGACCCTCAAAGGCGCCGCTGTGTGGCGCTCATAAACACTGGCGTGGAGCCATCACAGGCGGCTGGAGCCGTTAGAGGCCGGAAAGGGCCCTTAGATGCCTACAAGGAGCCTTCAGAAGCCGGCGTGGCATCCTTATGGGGATAAGCGTGTCTACTTAGGAGCCCTTGAGGTGCTCTCATGAGCTCTGTGGGGCCCTACCGAGCCGTAATATGGCCACGGCCAGTTGCCGCCGCATAGCTCTTCGGACTATCATTCTCAGGGGCCTCATCTGCCTAGTTTGAATAGAAGGGCCTCTCAGACCATCAGTTTCATGGGCCTCCTCTGGCTAGTATAAATAGAAGGGCCTGTTAGACCATCAATCCTAGGGGCCTCCTCTGGTTAGTATAAATAGAAGAGCCTCTCAGACCATTAATCTCAGGGGGCTCCTGTGGACAGTATAAATAAAAGGGCCTCTCAGACCATCAGTCTCGGGGGCCTCCCTAGAAAAGTGTAAATGTGGATAGAGGGCCCCCTCAGATTCATTAGGAGTGGACCTCTCTGACTATCAGTCTCAGGGGCCTCTTGTGGCCAGTATGAATATAAGAGCCTCTCAGACCATCGGTCTCAGGGGCCTCTTCTGACTAGTGTGGATAGAGGGCCCTCCCAGACCACCGCTTTCAGGGGCCTCCAGTGGCCAGTTATATGAACAGAAGGGCCTCACAGCCATCAGCCTCAGGGGCCTCTTCTGACTGGTGTGAATATGAAGGCCTCTCATACCATCAGTCTCAGGGGCCTCCTCTGCCTAGTGTGAATATAAGGGCTTCCCAGGCCATCAGTCTCAGGGGACTCTTCTGGCTGGTGCCGGATTGAGGGACCTCCTAGACCGAAAGTTTTGGGGGGCCTCCTCTGGCCAGTATGAATAGAAGGGCCTCTCAGTCCATCAGTCTCATGAGCCTCTTCTGCCTGGTGTGATTATAAGGGCCTCTCAGGTCATCAGTCTCAGGGGCCTCCTCTGACTACAGTGTAGATGGATAGGCCTCCCAGACCATCAATCTCAGGGGCCTCATCTGACTATTGAGGATAGAGGGGCCTCCTCTGACTAGTGAGGGTAGGGGGCCTCGGCTAGACCGCCAGTGTCAGGGGCCTATTCTGACTAGTGTGGATGGAGGGGCCTCCCAGACCACTAGTCTCAGACATCTGACTAATGTGGATAGAGGGGCCTCCCAGACTGCCAGTGTCAGGGGCCTCCCCAGACCAGTGTGGATATTGGGGCCTCCTCAGATCCACTAGGGCCTCTCAGGCCATCAGTCTCAGGGGCTTCGACTGACAAGTATGAACAGAGGGCCTCCTTGGATCCATCACGGCCCCTTGGAGTCCGTGTGTGGGGATTCGTGGAACTTATTTTTACGGAGTTTGTTTATTCTGGAAGGTGACGACGTCCTCTCAAATCGAGACGAGGGGCCTCGAGTAAAAAGTGGGTGGGCCAAAAGACATGGTTGGCCCCCCCCCCACCTCGAAAAGTGGGTGGGCACTTGCCCACCTGGCCCCCCCTGTTCCTACGCCTATGGGTCGTTTGTTAACCATATGCCTTACTATGAGCCCAACTGGATTTCACTCTGACGTTTCCTGAATTACAATTACCTATTACATAGTTACATTGCATTACGGTTTACCCAAGGACAGATGGAAGACATGATCATTTCTGCCCTGTTGAGTTTGTCCCATGCTGCTGGCACCGCCCCACTGTCCACGTTGAGTTTGTCCCAGCTGCTGGCGCCGTCCCACTGACCTGTGGTGGCCACGAAGCCCCGGTTGAGTTTGTCCCAGCTGGCGGTACCGTCCCACTGACCTGTGGTGGCCACGAAGCCGCGGTTGAGTTTGTCCCAGCTGGCGGTACCGTCCCACTGACCTGTGGTGGCCACGAAGCCGCGGTTGAGTTTGTCCCAGCTGGCGGTACCGTCCCACTGACCTGTGGTGGCCACGAAGCCCCGGTTGAGTTTGTCCCAGCTGGCGGTACCGTCCCACTGACCTGTGGTGGCCACGAAGCCCCGGTTGAGTTTGTCCCAGCTGGCGGTACCGTCCCACTGACCTGTGGTGGCCACGAAGCCGCGGTTGAGTTTGTCCCAGCTGGCGGTACCGTCCCACTGACCTGTGGTGGCCACGAAGCCCCGGTTGAGTTTGTCCCAGCTGATGAGGTCGCTGACGATCAGCGTCACCACCAGCACGGTGGCCACGATGCTGCCCACCCAGAAGAGGAGGATGCGCGCCACCGTGTGCCGCCGCCAGAACACGCGCACCCGGTTGGCCCAGTGCGGGTACAGGTCGTCCTGGAGCATCATATCGGTGACCATGAGCGCCGTGATCAGGTCGCCCAGCCATGTGCCGCACGCCGCCGCCTTCATCAGGCTGAGGGCGGAGAGGGAGGGGTACAGAGAGCTGTCAGAGGGAATTCTGCACGCCGCCGCCTTCATCAGACTGCGGGCGGAGAGGGAGGGGTACAGAAAGCTGTCAGAGAGGACTCTGCACGCCGCCGCCTTCATCAGGCTGAGGGCGGAGAGGGAGGGCAACAGAGAGATGTCAGAACGAGAAGAGAGTTCAGAGAGACCACACACGTCCATTGCGGTAGTTAGAATGCTTATCGTAGATAAACGGGAAATGGCTGGCGAGTGGCGACAATGATAAAGACAGATCATCGTGAAATCGATTTGATGGCTTTGATCGATTCTATGATTGATAAGCTCTAATGCTGCTTTGCTCTTTTATGTGCTTGAGTTTTGATGTCATGAGCGAGCTGGAGCATGAACAAAATAGACTATCGAAAGCGCAATAAACCAGGATAACAAGCTAAGCGCGGGTCCATTTCCTCCATGAAACCAGCGGCTCGGCTCGTCCGTAGCACTTCGAACAGCTATCAGCCGCGCTAATTCCGCGGCTCTGAGTCGGCTGTCGATTTGACGGCGGGGTCGTCGGCCGCGCCCGTCGGCAGTAAACTGGCGGCTCTGCCACCAGTGTAGTCAGGCTCCAGCCGCACGCTTTTGGCGGCCGCAGAAACTGGCAGCTCTGCCGGCGCGGCGGTTTGTCGCCAATGAGCTCGTGATCGGGTCTCATCAGGGCGCGACTTGTCGGCCGCCTGATTAGCTGCTCGGGTCACGCAATCTGACGCGGCGCAGGAGACTCTGGCGCACCATGGTGTCGGTTTGTGGTGCCAATAGCTAGTGAACGGTAGATGATGCACAGCTGTTGTCTGTTGCTCTGGTTACGGTCGCTAACTACATTAAATGAAATTCGTACCAAACAGCTCTTCCCGATCCTGCAGTGCTCCACGCTGGCCATCACTCCTTGTCTGTCTCTCACTGACTGCTAGTGAAATTCCTGTGTAAATTGTAGTAAGCGGCAGCGACAAATTCAACTGATGTGCTGGGAGACCTTCTCTGCTTTTCAGAATTATCGGAACCGACTGCCTTCTTTTGCATTGTAAACGATTGTTGCAAACACTGTACCCTCTTCACCCAATCTCCAGTGCTCCAGTGAATGGCTGGCCCAATCCATCTCGTCTGTGGTGTGTCCCTTCACCAGACCCCATATGTGTTCTGACCCGGCCGATTGTCGTACGATAGCCGCCTCCCGTCAGCACGCATTGCCTGTGACATGTCGTATGGTGACGGAGCTGCTCGGCGAGTCTACCGACAGAGATCGCCCCTCTGGCTCGACTGTGTGTAATGGTGATGCCGTAATGATGTCATCATGCCCAATCCCTATTGTGACAGATTATGTCACGTCACACCCTCTGGTGAACGAAGTAATGCGCTGGTGGATTGGAGCGATGGTTGTATTCCTTCCTCTGCAGTATAATGATGTGGTGGTCTATAATTATGTAGAGCTAGAAGCAGCCCGATCCAAATATTTCTGGTTATATTACCCGCTGGATCTCGACATCATCCATAAGAATACCGCTGTCTGACCGCGCTCTTTCCCCGTTGTTAATCAGCGGGCAGCCCGCAGACGGCTGCCGAGTTCGGCCGGCGGCGGCCCGTCCGCCCCGGCGGCGCGGCGGCCCGTCTGCTCCCGGCGGCTCCGTCGGACGCCGTGTTTAGCCCCGTTCACCTGGCGCTCGGCGGGCGGCGGCGGCCACTCTGCCACCGCCGGCGGATGTCCAATGCCAGGGGCCGCAATCAATGACCCCGTTCTCTGACGGCGGGCCGGCGGCGGCGGCGGCGAGTGCTCCCTCCCCCCCTCTGCCCGGCTCTCTCGCCGGCAGAGCGCAGGAGCAGAGCTGCATGTGTACTGAGCCCCCCGGGAGTTCGGCCGACACGGTCCGAAAGGTGAGGGCCGACCGCCGACCGCTGAAAGCACCCGCCGACCGCCGTCCGCCGACCGCCGACCGCCGTCCACCGCCCACTGTCCACTGTCCACTGTCCGCTGTCCACAAACCATCGATCACCGTCCGCCGTCCACCGTCCACCGACCACCGACCACCGTCCACCGTCCACCGTCCACCGTCCACCGTCCACCGTCCATCGTCCACCGTCCACCATACACTGTCCACCGTCCACCGACCGTCCACCGTCCACCGTCCACCGTCCATCGTCCATCGTCCACCGTCCACCGTCCACCGTCCACCGTTCAACGTCTCATGTCCACCGCCCACCTTCCACCGTCCGGTCGGCAGTGCGTGCTCCGTGTAGTGTTCGGTCTTCGGAGACAAACTGCTCCACGCAGCGGCGCTGAGCGATGTGATTATTTGCTCACCCGAGCGTGAAAGGTGAATGGGTGCCGAGATTCCCTCCCGCAATTCGTTTTGTTTTCGAGTGTTGGCGGTAACAAATGATGACGTTCAACACCAACGGCAAATTCCAAACTCACGGGATATGTGTAATGGGCATTGTGTGCATTTGATTGCAGCGTGGAAAAGTTCGTTTCCGAGCCGCGATAGATGGACTGGAATGATGTCGATATGCTGATGTATGGATATCTGGCACGTGATCGGCCGAGCAAACCTAATATTGCTCCGCCCTCGCCATCGTTCACCTCAGAAAAGCCGGCCCGAATACCGCTCAAAACGCCCAGCGCACAGCTAGGATGGAGAAGAGTAGCTTTCCGCCACGATCAACAGGAAATTGAGATAAAACTCTTTTCCCCAGTATTGCCCAGTAGCCGGACAGGCGGCTAGTTCAGTGAGTCACGCACCGGACACACAAAGACAAAATCTCATTGAATATCGTCCCCATTCTACTATAATAGGCTAATACGCGTAATTGCCATTGTGACGTCATTTTTGCCTAATGCTAAATACAATGCTAACTACAACGTATTTTCTTATAACCTGAGGTACGGTCTATATTGACGTGATCTAAAGCTAATTACGGTTATCTAAAGTTAATTACGGTCCTGTTTCCGGAAATGCATTGATTCTCATTAGATTCCCCCTCAGTTACCTGGCGTTTGTGATGTACATGCAGCTGTTGACATGGTAATCTTCATAGTTGACGTAGCCCAGCAGAAGAATGAAGTTGTAAACGTGTGAAAATATATACAGCGACACAATCACAGTCAGAAACATCACCATCCACGAGCCCTGAGAACACAGGAACAGCAGCCGTCAGGTTAGAACGAGCACTCCAACGGGGATATGACAGAAAACGGGCATTGAAAACGGGCTCAGGTATGAATGCTTAGCAGTTACTAGTTAGCACATGCCTAAATTTAGTAATGAAAAAAGAGTTATTGATTATCTGAATGAATGTAACATGAAGCCCAGGCCCGACGTATGCACTATGCGCTAAGCATGCAGTAATTACGAGCGAGCGAGCGCAGCGAGCGAAGTGAGTCTTTTCAATATAACGGAAAAATCTCAGTATGAGCGGCCCGGCCCGGCCTGTAACGCTTTTGAGAGGCTTATATCTCAGCAACCGCTGGACCGATTGGCCTGCGGTCTTTTTTGCTGGGTAGCCCCATCCCTTCTACCCCGTAATTGACTACTTTTGATACATCTCAGTGACCGTCGTGGCACGTGCCACGTGAAAAGTCAAGGGTGTTCAAGCTGTTTTGCAAAAGTAGTGATTTTGAGAGGCTCATATCTCAGCAGCCGCTTGGGCGATTGACTTGCGGTAATTTTTGTAGGGTAGCAGCATCCCTTCTACCCAAAATAGGATACTCTCGATGCATGTGGGTCACCCCCAGTGCACGTGCAAAATACAACAATAAGAGGTGCCAAATTTGTTCCCATTTCAGTAACTCGGTAATTACTGGGGCGATTTCGCTGAAACTTGGCATACAGGTAGGCACCCACCAGGCAATGCATTCCCATGTGTTGCGGTTAAGGTGCTACTGCACGTGCGCACGTGCAGGGGGCGTTTCCAGATCTCGAGAACGGCTGGGCCGATTGCGCTCAAATTTGGTACACGGTTGGGGACCAGTTAGTAGGGTGCCGTGCAAAAGTCATTTTGGACCCCGTTTGCACGTGCGCACGTGCAGAATGCCGCTTCCAGATCTCAAGAACGGCTGGGCCGATTGCGTTCAAATTTGGCACACCGCTAGCGACCAGTTAGAAGGGTGCTTTGCGCAAGCCCGTTGGAAGCACCCTCTCGCCCTTCCGCACGTGCAGGGCTCACTATCTCGCTCGCTCGTTCTTCGCCCAAAAGGCGTTTTACTGGTGTTTATGAATCAAAAGAATAAAGAATGAACAAGAAAGCGTGTGTATGTTTTCGTAGACTAAACACGTTTGTGATTTTTTTTCATGGACTTAGTTACCCCATGTGCTTTATGACATGATGACACGATAAACAAGAAGTGGCCTGTCCAGCTGCACTTTTTTAGTCAGCCAAATGTCTTTTGCGCTGCTTTTCCCATGCCTCAGTGTTCAGCGATCATGCGCGTTTGAGGCCGCCCGTGACTGGCTCGGTAGGCTGTGCCGCAGCACACGGAGCCATCCGGCACAGCCTACCCTCCAGTCCATAGAGCTCGTCTGCAGCGTCTGGCTCTGCGTCTGCTCGTCGTCAAGGAGCTGTGCTGTGGCTGATACTGGAGAAGGTCCAGCGACATGAATAGTTACGCTAAGCGTCTTTCCTTTCGTTCTACCTACAACTTTACCTCGTTACGTTATGTCAAATGTTACAAGTCGTGGCGATATACGTGTCTTAGAAGCCTCGTCTTCACACTAATTCCAATCAAAAAATGATAAATCAGCAAGTTTTTTATTACACATTTACCAATCTTGAATGCAATATCTACATTGTATATCACCAGGTTCATCACGTTTTTTCCGTAGCTGTTTTGGTGGGTCATGGGCCCGTTCCTCTGAATTTGGCCGGCTTTTCCGCTCGTTCAGACAATGCCGTTTTTTGTGCCGGGATCCATTACAGATACACGGGCGCACCATTTGTGGTGGTGGCGCGCATACGGAAAGGAGGGGAAGGGGCGGTACGGGGGAGTGGAACACCCGCCACCGTACAGACAGACAGAATGCCACACCAGGGTCGCGGGCAGGAGAGTTCCGCCGGCTCTGTGAGACTGCGCTGAATGTTTTGTGTTCAATGATCTGTTTCAACAAGTTTTGGGTGGTATTCTTCTAAAGATTATTATGTGTTCCGCGTGTGCAGCGGTAATAATGTTGAGCGAATGCAAATTGCAATACGTACAGCACAATACAACATGTCATCTCGCTTTAATTTATTTCTTCCCATTTCCCTCACTTTCCCCTCACCTGCTCGTCTCGGAACATTTTTAGCCGGGTCCATTGTCGAAGCACGATGTGGTGAATGAAGTTTTTCCCGATCAGCATGCCACATAAAATGGCCAATACCCATATCAACACCTGCAAAAGCAAGTCAACAATATGCATTATCAAACCATTGATACATTAAGTTGTAATTTAGATTTATTTGCTTAAGCCCTTCCTTATTCATGAAATATCATAGCTAGGTAAAATGCAATGCAGTAGTTTTCTATGATAAACACTATTTATAAAATGACACATTTATCCACTCCGAGAGTGTTTGCATCGGTCAATGGCAAAAGCTATTGGTTACTTACATTTAAAAAAAAAAATGTTTGTGAGTGCAACAACAGTGCGATCATTGCATACGGTGATTACCTTTCCAAGTTTCCAGTTCCACTCTGGCGGGTACTTGGTCACCACAAAGCTGAACACATTCCCTACCACAGGAATCTCCGATTCTGAAACAACAAAGACGTCAGGGATCAGCGTTGTCTTACAATCAGTTCCATGTCTGGTTACCTTTGTTTCATTCGGATCACCATATAAGTTCAATTGCTATTTCTAGTTATCATGTCACTTGAATCACGCAGTATGGAAGAAAATAAATTTGAAAATCGATGACAAAGACGTGTCCTTAAACAGGTGCAGATTTACGCATGATGTAATGTAACAATATTCACGACTTGTTAGTCGTCATCTGCTTACGATAAGCTATTTCTATATTTTTCATAATCACTGTCATCCTATTTATGGTCTCGTAATTTAATTGGCTAATGTCTTGTGATAATGTCAATGGTCCAAGTGCAAGACAGGAACAGAACATTTTGCTTTTGGTCTGAAGTGACACTGGCATCATGCCTCATAAAGTTATGGTGTTGGAAAAAACGATTAAGCAGTATGGGTCTTGTTTTCTCAATGTTTATAGACAAAGGTGACCTGCAATTGGAGGTAGTGTCAGTGGACACTGGACAACAAACTACTGTTATCTATCACAAACTACCAATCTGTCACCACGCTACCAAAACCTCGGACAGCACAAAACTTTCAGTGTGGCCCCGAACTGTCAATGGACAACACACAACTCTCACATGCAACCTAACTGTCAGTGGTCATGCCCCTCCCCCCCCCCACACACACACATATACACACTTTCTAGACATTTACCAGCCCTGCAGCGTTCTGAAAGCTGACATTGTCCACTGACAGTGACTGACCAGCTCTGCAAAACTCTGACAGCTGACACAGCCCCAGATTCCGTCGGTGCTCGAAATAGCCGACAGCGTCCGACCCGGCCCAGTTTTGACAGCTCACAAAAATAGTCACCGTCGACGGCGTGGCTGCATCAGCCGCGCGCTGCACGCACACAAACACCCTCCCCAGTGTCGGGACGGCGGCGGCGGCGGCGGCGGCGACGGGTCAGGTTAGACGATCGGAGATCTATTGAACCCGCCCGCGCGCTTCGACCGGTTTGGCGCGCCGAGGCGCCGGCCGACCGGCGGGCGCGCGCTTCGACCGGCATCGTTAGCGGCGCTGACCGCGCGAAAAATTGGCGCCAGCGTTGGTGGGTCAGCCGCAGCGCCGCTGAATGTTTCAGCCGGAACCGTCAACTGATTGGGATAGATGCTCCCGCCCGACCCGCGGCGAGTGCCATCGACCCAACGACCGCGGGTCAGTTACGACTGCTGCCGACCTAACCAGCGCCAACCAATAACATTCCACCGATAATGAAGACTCACTCGATCCGAGGTCTCTATTGGCCCGGTTTTGGTTCCAATCATGGGTTCATGGACTGGAGTACCATCCCTCGTCATATCTTGTAGCGACTGTCCCTCCACCAGCGCCCTGATCCGGTCTGGACCAGCAGCTTACTGTCGCAGTTCTCTGAGCGGTCGGCAGTCTCCTCTGAGCCGCGGACCGTCTCGGCACCAACAGGTGTCCTCTATGCCGGCTGGCCCGGGTGTGTGGTCAGCAGAAGAGCGTGTCGGCGCACCGCGGCCAGCCCGGCCCCTCCGCGGACAGTCAGCTCAGACGGCGGCGGTCTGACGCGGCGCAACAGTGTGCTGCGACGGTCACATGGAACGGGGACGGTCGGACCGCCGAGCCGTCGCTGTCAGATAGCTCGACACCCGCTCCGGCAGCGGTTCCGTCGGTCGGAGCTGGACGCGCTCCTATGCGGTGAGACAAACAATGACAGATGAGTGGTCAATAGATAAGGAAACAGCAGACGTTTTGGGAGCAGAATAGACAAACAGAAAATAGACAATCAAATTGGCTGAAAACAGACGGGGAAAGGGTTAGAACATCTAACGACCAACAAAAACAGACGACCAGACGGGCGGACAACAGTTATTGAACGGACCGACAGCAGATGAGTAGACGAACAAACCGTAGGTTACCTTCAGGCTTCAAGTTTCGGCAATGGTAGATAGATAACCAAGTAATGACGTCATTTTCTTCTGAAGTTAGACTCGAACTCTACCTGTAGGGTAGGTGGTTTCCATGACGGCCACTGGGGCGCTTCGCCTGACCTCAGTCAGTTATTCATCAATAAATCGTGCAAATTAGTACAGTTGGTTTCCTCTATAGCTTTTATGTGTTTCCACGAAACCCTTTCTCTGCAGTCTGAGCCAAACAGGAAGAGGAAGATTCCATGAATCCTCTCCTCTGGCGTCAAATATGAAATTAATGTCAGTTTTGACGATGCCCAGGCTATATCCAGCGCCATTTCTTGCTCAGTCCGCCGCCAGATATTTTGCGATAATCATCCACCCGTGCATTCAGCTATGGTGACGGGCGCTGAAAGCGTCTCCCTCCCTCTTCCTCTGGGCTCACTCTCCCTTTCAGTGTGCGGCCGTCACTCGTCGCCGACTGAGTTCGCGGTTTCATCTTCTGAGAACCCGGCCGGCCGCCGACAACTGCCACCGCCCGCCTGCGAGGCGCGTTCTGCTGACCGGAAATGACAGCGGCCACTGTCGGCGAAGCAGCCGCCGCCGTCGGTCCTTTGAGCCGGCGGATCGGCAGTGTTGCGGGCCGGATTCCGCTCGATTAGGGCGGTGGCGGCTCGGTCGGCGGCCAGCGACACTGGCCGGCGCGGCGGAAACGGCGCCGGAGTCGACCGGGCTCGGTGGGCGGGGCCAGACGAATGGCTACAGCCGCCGACCCCACACAATAAGGCAGCCCTTCCCTGAGGCGAAGTTATGAAAATTTCCGGATGAATGTGATAGATGAAATCATAGTCCTATGAATGAATGGCCAAAGTTGCAGCAGTCTGGTGCTCAAAGGCCAGCCGGAGCCATTTCTGTGATATATAGTTGCGATGGCGTTGAAAGAAACCTTGCCCATGCAATTAGTTATCGCATTTCGATTCTCTCAGTTCTCTTTTTTGGATTACTTATTTCAGAAATTCAGAATGCGGTGATTGGTTCTTGATATTAATACGAAATGGTGCGCTCTTTTGATGTGATTATGATTGTTAATTATTGGCATACAGTGAATAGCCATACTAACATTAGTTGATAGACATCCATAAAGCCTCAGTAGCTTTTATTCTTATAGCTTAATATGTCCTAATCAATAAAAATGTGCAGTGCGAATGACCTATCATGATAATTTTTTCTTATTAAATCATATTTTGATCGCTTCAAACGCAGCTCCCGTTTCCGTAATCCATATGTTGATGTTGATTGTAAAGTGTGTAACAAATAACATTGGTTTGGGTTTTTCCCAGCTGCGCAAATCATCCACCCTATCACTACGAAAGTCCAGAGCGAGGTAGGTGTCGCCTGGAAATCGAGCACATCGTCTCCACCGGCCACTCCTCTCGCTCACGCCGGGGTGACCACCTATCAGCATTTGCTGACCCGCACCTCGGACGCACTTCCTCCGGCCTCCGGGCCCCGTCGCTCGGCGCTGAGCGATGTGATGTGCCGTTCGCTCAGAGGCGGGGTGCAGGGGTCAGGTGGCTGCCGGGCTGTCCGAGTCCTCAGGCACCCCTCAGGGATCGTTCGGTGGGCGCGCGGTCAGATTTAGGGCGGTCTCCACGTGATGGGCGACTGACCAGTGTAATGCGTTAGGCGGCCTGGTTAGGAGAGCGAGAGCGGGAGAGAAGACGCATCGGCACGACTTTGAAAATTGTCGCTGTTTTGTCAGTGTTCCTCATTGAACAAGGTTAAGTTGCTTGTCCTCGATTTATGAAGGGGTCAGGTGCTGTTGATACGCTTATCTTGCCAGTCAATGCGAGATACTTTTTTCAGTTTGCTCGGAAGAAGCATTTATCCCGATTCTGTTCGAAGGGTTGAGCATATCATTCTTCCCCAGCCTCGCTATCTTCTATGTAGTTAGCTAAGGAAAGAAAGTCTGCCAGAATACCGGCCCCTATATTTAGAGCGAATGAGCGTGGCGATTACCAAAAGGATCTTATAAGGCATCTTAACTCGGCACATAAGAGCGCTACATACATAGAAAGGGTGACTTCAAAAGTCTTCTCTTCCAATTTGTCCATTAAAATGTGATGGATATTTCATAGAGCTTTTTCCGGCAATCGTTAGCCATTTTGATAAGTAACAATGCCAATTAATGTCGCTATAGTACATACCGTACTTCTCTGCCGTTAAAAAGTGTAAAAGAATAACACGCGACACACATTTTACCATTATCAGCGACACAATGCGGCATTCCCTTATGTATGCATTTTACCGCAAGCAATGCTGAGAGCCGTGTTATTACAGCCCATAACACTTCGAGCCACATATTTTGTAGGCGGCAACTAATGTCATCTCAGATCGTTCACTTTGATAGTCATACGATACACACGCTTCCACGCTGCACATAACACAATAAGTACACAGTAGCCGTTTTCACGACGGGCTATCCGGCAAATGAACCTAATTTGACCAAATCTTCACCTAATCTCTTTTACAGCAAATATCTTCATTTTATATTATGAATTTATTTCAGTGTTTTAATCGATGATACTCTCTGATAATATGACAAAGCATGCATAGAAGCAATTAGCGCAGCCCTAGCTGATAGCTAATAAGAGATACACTGAACCTAATTTGACCAAATCTGCACCTAATCTGCACCAAATTTGCACCAAATTTGTGCCAGATAGCCGTCGTGAAAACGGCTCAAATGATAGTCTAAGTGGTTTTATGGGTGTTCGAATGAGTTTTAGTATGAGCGCGTAAATAGCATGTCACGATTGAGTAACGCATTAGTTAACACGCGCACCGACGGGGGGGCGGATATCCGCCCCCTGAGGTTTTTCGCGAATAGCGGGAAAACCGCGCGCGTTGGTACGACTATTCTCTCATCAATTTTACACATGGTGTGCAAGTTTGAACCTCCTAACTTCTAAGGGCAGGTCACCAGGTCACTTTGAATGACCCAACCTCAATTCACTTTTTTGCAACTTTGTCACCGTGCCAGAGCTACAGTAGATGTCGGAGGCCTTTGAAAGTCGGAGGATGTTATAAGGTCATTAGTTACTACAATTTGTTTATCTCGGAATTTTGATATCGGTGACCTAAGGTCAGGTCCATTTCTCGACCTCCCAATTATAAGTCAATGGGGGAAAAATCAACTCCCTGTTTTTACCACTAAAACGGGTCGGAATGGCCCCATATACCATACATGACTTCATATACGATCAACCTTCACTACCTTGAGGCCAGTTTTGCTGTTGGGCAGCTGTAAGGTCATGTGACGTCGTCAAAGGTCACCAAAGGTTTTTTGCCAATAACTCCGTACAGGAACAAGATACAGCCGCGCGGATGGTCTCATTGTGTTCAGCTCGTCAAGACGCATCGAATGCTATGCATGATGACCTCGAGGTCACGTGACCTGAGGTCAACCTTTGAACTTGACCTTTCGAGTTCAACATATATCATTCGATGCGGATTGACAAGAGGATCACGATGATGTCCTTAGTTTGTTCCTGTCTTCACTAATTCGAAAGTTATTCGAGAAAAACTCGCTCCATATCTAGCGCCGCCATTTTGACTTTTTTGACCCCTGTGACGTCATCTTTGACCTGACCTGAAAATGACCTGTGTAAAAATGGTAGACCTTGTCCGTGCATATCCGATACCGTTTACCGCTTGTCGCTATCTTGCTTCGTTCTCGAGATCTCAGGGGGGGCGGTCATCCGCCCCCCCCCCGTCGGTACGAAGTTGGCGCGGACCCCCGTCGGTGCGCGTGTTAATATGCTTCAACAAAACAAATGCTTTTGCAGCAACACTTGTGGAAAAAAGAAAGGAAAAAATGTAGCATGAAAGTGAAATCGCGACAGTAACCAACGAACATGGCACTTGGTAAATGCCAGAAAGGACAATTAGTTGGCAGTATCATTAAGTACGTTTTTATAAGTAGGTATTACTAGCACATACAATTAAACATAATTCGTGAAACATGTTCAAAGATCTTCATATCCTTTTCTTTGCCCTTTTAGCTCATTCAAACACATTAATGTCAGAATGGCAATGTTTTATGAATGAAATTGGTATGCAGTTTTCACGTAATCCAAGTTCGATGTTGGCTTCGTTTTATTTTTCGTCTGTTAAGTGATTATACATATTGACTGAATTTCGTCAATTTCATTCTCTCAATAAGGAAACGGCAGCTAAAGGTAGCAAAATCAAAAGCTGTGCGAGATGACATGGCAGCTGCTGCAGAGCAATGAGATTTCTTAACTTCGCATTTGTTTGGGGCACTTATAAATGTTTTTGAAGCCACAGTTGTGAAGCACTTGCATTATTCCAAATACTATGTCTTACGTTCTTTACACAAAAACGCTATGAAATACCAGTAAGAAGCAGTCCGTCTTCCCGCCTGAGTTATGGATTCGCCCTCCCCAGCCGATAATCCCTTAATACCTGGCACCGCGCCACAACTCTCACAGCACGGTCGGCAACAGGTGCATCGCACGTGCGGCAGAGACGTCCCCTGGCCCCGAAAAAGGGCGCTACGAGTCCCCCTCACACACAAACACACACAGCACCTCACCACCACCCCGGCGATCACTCACCTGCATGGCTGTGGGACACGGGGTCCTCGGCGAACAGTAGAAAATTACAGAAGATCACAAAGTAAGCCACAATAAGTCGGATGTACGGGTGCTGGAAATAGTAGCGCAGATCTTTGTCCATATACAGCGAGTACGAGGAGAGAGCGTCCAGCGAGCCGCGCTCCTCGCGAGACCGGAAGCCGCCCGTTTCCGTCTCCACCTCGGGCGTGTAAAAGTTGCGCGACTCCTCGGTCACGTCTCCGAAGCTGAGTCGTTTCACTCGGGTCCTGACCACGGTGGTGTCGGCGCCGGGGCTGCGGCGCGCCACCGACACGGTGGTCTCGGCCAGCTGCAGGCTGCCCGTGCTGTCGGCGTTCAGACGGCGCGCGCTGCCCGCCCGGCTCTCCTGCTCCTGGTTCAGCGACGAGCGCGTGCTCGCGTCGATGTAGGACATTTGCGGCGTGACGGCGCGCCAGAAGTCGTCACCGGCGCCGGCGGCCGAGCTGGAGGCGGTGACGGACGTGGTGCCGGTGGTGCCAGTGGTGCCGCCGGAGCTGGTGACGGTGGTGCCGGCCGTGCCGTTGCTGGTGGAGCTGTCGCCGGCCGGCCGGGCCGCGTCGCTGGCGGCCAGGAGGCCGTCTATGACGCCCTGGAGCCGCTGCAGGGACACGGACGGCCCCGTCTCTGCCTCCATGGCGCCGGCCGACTGCCCGCGCGCGCCGTCACCGCCGCCGCCGCCGCCGCCGACGGTGACGTCACGGCTGACATCGACCGCCGGTCGATCGACGCGCGGCTCTGTTGATTCTGCGCCGCTCTCTCTCTCTCCCCGGCGTCTCTCCGCTCTCACTCCTTCTCTCTCCTCTCTCTCTAGGCGCCGCTGTAGTCGCCAGCGTCGGAGAACGTCGGGGGAGGGCGGGACGACAGGGGAGGGAGGGGAGAGGAGAGGGACGGGCCGAGTGAGGACAAACATGTGGCTGATGAGGAGAGATCGCGCCGGTTGCATAACACTGGCAGCACGCAAAACTGGCGGCCGATACCAGTCAGCATTAACGCCAAAGCGCTTGTCACCGAGGCATCATAAGCGGTTATTAGGAAATATGTTAAGAAAATGGGATAGCGTAACAGAGCATACTTACCTATACGAAGGTTAACCCGTGCCCCGCTGGGGGGGGGGGGCAGAATCTGCCCCCCCCCTCCCGTTTTTCGCCAATAACTTCTAAACGCGTTACGCCAGCGACGTCAAACTTTCAGTACCTTATCATACATCAATTTGACAAGCTCTCTGAAAATTTGAGCGAAATCCGTCGGAACATTTTTTAAGAAATTGACGTTTTAGTGACGTCATGCTCGCCATTTTCGCCTAAAAAACGGCAAAATTTCAAACGCCGCTAACATCTTCATTTTTAAAGGAAACAAGACGTAACAAAAAGGTTACACGTGATTCTACTTTGTCTATCAAATGGCTATCTCGGTTTTTGAAAATTTTGGATTTTGGCACAATGTTTTTTTTTTCTTCAAAAAACTGACTTTTTGGGGAAAAAAGTATAAAATCCAAAACTTTGAGTGTATCGAAAAACCCGGAATATATGTCAGAGAAGTGGTCTATGTGCACCTACATACCAATTTTTAGAAGAATCGGTTCAAAAATGTGGGAGTTATTCAAAATTGTATGACGTCACGACACACAAAAAATTTGAAAAATGATTTTTTGGAAGTTGTAGACCTCGTACGGAAACAAAAATAGCACCATTCGATTCATCGTGAAAAACTGCATCAGATAGACACCATTTCAGGCCTTAACAACCAACTTCAAAATTTGACCTCACTTGACCTGACCTTGACCTGACCTTGATCTGAAATTCATCCAGAGGTGGTCCATATCACTTATTGAGTGTGCTTATTGAATTCTATGAGCAAAATGACCCATAAAACATGTGTCGCACATGCCCTCTTCTATGTTTTGTTTTTGGTGACCTGACCTGACCTGACCTGACCCTGACCTTGACCTTTGAATGACATTGTATGCAACGAATATTGTCTTGGTAGTCTAAGAACACGTTTTGGGCAATCAGTCTTAGTCCATTCTTCGGCAACTACGGCGCACGGCCGATACTGTAGAAACTTGCATTTTGTACCCTTGACCTGACCTTTACCTGACCTCTGACCTACTTGAGCAAAAAAATGGGCTCTTAAGATCCGCCTTGTTAAGAGCTTTCGATTGCCGCTTTCCCCGTCTTTCTACGACCATCGGTTCGGAAGTTAGACAGGGGGCAGAATCTGCCCCCCCCCCCCCCAGCAGGGCGCGTATGGCTGAATAGCCCAGCGGGGCGCGGGTTAAAAATGCGAACTAACAGCGAGTTATGAGCCTAATGTCATACGTTTTATTACAATGCTATTTATCTCGAGATATTGCATTAATAAGCCAACTGTTCACTGTTCAGTCAAAACTATCATAAAGCTCTTTAGGATAAAGACAGCTTAGGATGATCGTTTGAGTTAGAGACTTCTGATGGTTCAAAGAAGTGCAAATTCAAAGCCTCAGTCGCAGCAGTAATGAATCGAAGTGTAGCAGACCTTACAAGAAGGTCTCAAATTAACCCGCTGTGCTTGGCGTGATCCAAAGCTTCTTGCTGTCCTTTTTAGGTTTTCAGGATATTGAAGTGATGAACGTCAACGACCGACGACGTGCGATCTTATGCAATCCATTGCCCATTTTCGTCAATGATTCTTATAAAATATCAACGGTAGTTTTCCATTCTGTTAAATTATCCATGCCACATCACACCAAGAAAATGATTGTCACGTCTTCGTCTCTTGCGACTGCTCTACTTTGAGACTTCAGGCGATTAACTAATCAGCGTGACAAAATATCCGAACATTTTGTTTTGTATTTTTATTGTACGTCAACAGTGGTCACGTCAAATGAGTAGCCTCTTTATAACAAACATTGACACAGCAAAGTTATCCGAACAAATGGTATGATTCTTTCATTCGAGGTCTTTCAAGCCAGGCTTTGATGTGAAGTCATGTCATAATTCATAGTAGCCGTTTTCACGACGGGCTATCCGGCGAGTGCACCTAATTTGACCAAATCTGCACCTAATCTCTTTTACAGAAAATATCTTTATTTTATGAATTTATTTCAGTGTTTTAATCGATGATACTCTCTGATAATATGGCAAAGCAGGCATATAAGCAATTAGTGCAACCGTAGCTGATAGCTACTAAGAGACACGCTGAGCCTAATTTCACCAAATCTGCACCTAATCTGCACCAAATGTGCACCAAGCTGTTTTCACGACGGTCATTTGGTACACATTTGGTGCAGATTAGGTGCAGATTTGGTGCATGTTTGGTCAAATAAGGTTCATTGTGTTTCTTAAAAGCTGTCAATTTGGGTTGCACAGCTGCTTAGAACCTTATACTTCAAATTATTAGACATCAGTTTCGATTGAAACACTGAATTCTGAAATAAATCCATGCTATGAAGATATTTGTTGTTAAAGAGATTTGGTGCAGATTTGGTCAAATGAGGTCATTCGCCAGATAGCCCGTCGTGAAAACGACTATTCTTATTTCCATTGCATGTATGATATTTTTTTTGTAGACGATATGACCGTATGACTATAGCAATTGTAATATTGAATAGATAAACAATAGTAAAAAAAAAAAACAAAGACAAATTGCTGAACGTCCTTTTTACAACACTGGACAAAGCAGTAGTTCTCTAACACGGACATTTTCTGGGAGTTCCATGCAGTATAGCGGCCAGCGCAGCGTGGTGGGTACGTGCCAGTGAGGTCAATCTATTTATGTGCTAATCGCCACCGTATAGAACGCAGTGCTCTAGACAAATATAGCTCTGCAGCTCTCAGTTATTTATAGATGGGTACGCACCACACATAAAAATAACCTGAATTGGCTGATCACAGATCAGTTATCAATCGATCAGCGGGCCCAATGGGCATCCAGCCGACGTGATTGATATCATGACTGAAAAAGTCATGTGAGCCTAGAAAGGGATTGGTGAGAATGTCAAGAAGACATAGGCTTAGTTTCAAGTAAAGTGTGATTGTTTTATTTTATACTAAATGATGTTCTTTTTTATCCCCTCGCCAACACGAGATGGGGATGCTCCGCAATATTGACTTCCGTTCGTAATTACGTTGGTGATGGAACGCATGACGATGACGAGCGTGTTCAGATATGTCATGCACGGCTCGGACATGTCATGCTTTCAAACACTGCCGTCGAGTGTACAAATGGCTCCGAGAGGAGCGCGGTGACTGCGGCTGGTTTTCCGGCGGCCCACTCCGCTAAAAGCCGGCCGTGGTGAGCGGCCATTGTTTGTCCGCGGACATCTGTCACCGGGGCGGTTGTGTTTAGATAACGGCTGAGCAGCACTGCATTCAGTCCACTGCGCCGGCCCGGCCCACATACATCAGTGTCAGAGCCTCGCGACCCGACAAATTCGCCGGCCGCTCACACTGGAAAAATGGGAGCGGCCGTGTCAATGTTGTATAGAGCACCATCGTCATCACTTGACGCGTGCAATTAATAGTAACTCATGCGACGCGTGAAGTGCTTTTCATTAATTAATGCGTTTGAAAAAAAAAACAGCCTAACCAATTTTTTCGGCAGCATGTTTCCGTGCTGTCCTTGTGCACATGCAAACATGATAGGTTGTCGGCTTACTGCCGTTATAAATTCACCGGTGAATCTCAGTGACACCATTGACCTGAGGTCAAGTAGGCTTCATATCTGCACACTTACGGTCGGTGCTGACCGCTGGTTCTGCTCTGGTAGTCCCGCTCTGCTATTAGTCCTCTGCATGGTACGTCCAGAGGTCATGCCGTGACCGGCGGTCGTCTCGGTGGCAGATGCTCTCGGACGGCCCGGAAAACGTTCGTTTGTTCCGGCGGTGGAAAGTGGACCGGCGCCCTGCCGCCTCTCGACTCTGAGGCGCAGGACTGAAGTCGCGGCATAGTGCGCAAATAGGGGTAAAGTATGTTTTATTTTTATGTTGTCATTGGTTCTCTTATCGTTTTATCCCATATAATATGCTTTGCTTACTGTATGCTAGACTAAAATATAAGACCGCTTGCAAAAGACGTCAAGTCTACAATACAGAGGCTAGACCTGCTAGACTTGCGCAGCTTTAATCCGTTGCCATTTTGGCCTTGGGACAAGTGTCACTGTCACCTGCTAAACGGCCACGGTAGCCTGACAAGGAATGCAAACGCTTGCTTTTGTGTGGTCACCGATCCCGATCGTTTCATACCAGTCCTTTTGAAGGCGCTGTTGACTTTTCCTAATGCTGGTGTGGTGGTGGTGGGGGGGGGGGGGATTTGGCTCCGAAATGCTGAGTTGACGGACGACTGCACAGTGGTCGGTCGAACACTGGGGCATGCTGGCATGCCATATATAGGAACACTGCGCCCCTGCCGAATCCGTCAGACCCCCCCCCCCCTCTCCGGTTCCTCCTCCGGGCCACGGACCCGCGACTGCGTGAGGGACACTGCAGCTGCTGACAGGTGAATTTAAGGCCTCCTCTATCGGGTATAAGTTATAAGCCGTTTACGACGGGTTTTCTGGTGAATGAACCAAATTTGACCAAATCTGCACCAAATCTCTTTTATAATATGTCTTCACATCAGGAATATAGGTGTTTCAGTATTTTAATCGAACATAATGTCTGACAATTTGAAAAAGTATGTATACCTATAAGCAACTGTGCAACTCAACCAGACATTTGTTGAAGAAACTAAAAGAACCTAATTTCACAGAGTCTAAATGTGCACCAAATCCATTCCAAATGTGAACCAAATATGTATCAGATAGCCGTCGTGAAACTGAAAATGGCTATTGTTTGACCTTCAGTGCTTTTGTAATTTTGAGTACATACCTACTTTTTGCTGACATCCAACTACTGAATAAGCACCTATCCTAGCTTCACGATTTTATTGAGCCATCTAAAATACGACGAGGAAAGGATTTGGGGCGCAACAGCGCAACAGCGCAGTAGCGCCCTTATGAAGCTGGAATTTCGACACTCGACGGCCGACCGATAAGAGCAGCACACAACACTCTCTGTGAAATTTATGGCAATCAATTTATCATCGGTCGCTATTTATGTAGCCTTGATCTATTTATTGCTCCCAAATGGGGACACTTGGTCCGTATACTGGCGTCCAAGAGCGGATATTGGGAGTCTCTGCACGACCTCGATGGCGGCTCGGCGGCTCGGAGATGGCGCATTTCACCCCATCCCCCTTCCTCCCTCGAAAGCTGCCCCTCCCCCGCCAGTCGTTCACATCGCTGGAGCGTGCGATATGTTGTTCTGAGGAGCGATTGCTATACCGTCGTGAGCTGGTTCGTAGTGGTGGTCTGCTCCCCTTGAGATTTGGAAAACGGTGTGAACTGCGAGTTGTGTGAATCATGACTTTTTGCATAATGTTTGACTTCCAATCTTTTCCAGTAAGTACCTACACCGTGTAAATATTAGTACACTGCTAAATCCAGAGATCGATCTTGTTTTCATTTATTACCTCATAACACATGTCAATGATAATTCAAATAATCATCCATCATAACACGACGTCATTAAAGCGCCAGCACAGATTCTGCCATTCTATGACTATGAACATTGTCATGGAGCGCATTACACATGTATACGGTAACCAGCGGTCAGCGAGGCTACGACCGATCGAGACACCTGAAATGGCGCAGAGGTGACGAGCTATGAGCGGCATAGTCGGCTATGGGAGCGGCACCTACCCGACCAAGGCGGGCCTTCAGACAGTGTCATTGACAGGGTGCGAACCAGGGACAGGTACAATTGCTATCCGTTCAAATAAACAGTCAGGACATTCAGCAGCACGGTCCGAACAGTCTCTGAATTCAAAGAACGTACGCAATTGAAATAAGTCCCAAATACGATGAAGTTGTGACGATCACAGCGTTAGCGCTGCTTTCGTCGACAAACATAGTTTTCATTTCCTGTGGTATCAAACCATCGTGTTTGATTATAATCGATCAACAACCAATAACGAACACTTCGCTTTCGCAGCGAATGCAAAAGCATCAACGAAGTAAAACACTCGCCCAATCAATCTCTAATTTCCAAATGGCAAACATGCGGCTGCTGGTTTCTTTGAAATAACGCCCCGCGTCACCCGCATTAGCTGCCCACATAAACTAGCATCAGCCGCCCACATAAACAAACAACACTGGGGTCTCGACCCCGACATCTCCCCGACCCTACCCCGCCGTATAACTCATTTCTCACGGACACTCACGGCACCAGAGCGCACCCAGCAGCGGGGACGCCGTGCCGCGCGCGGTGCACCCAGCGCTGTCTTTGTAGCCGCCCTTCTCCTGAGATCGCCGTGGCGCGAGCCGTGTGCGGTTTAAAGACAAAGCTCCCGGACCGTCTCCTGTGAGCGCCCCTCGAGAGAGCGCTGCTCGGCGGGCGCAGCTCCCAGTCCAGCCCCAGCCGCTCGGCGCGGTCCGGGCCGGAGCTGACTGAGGCCGGAGAGAGGCTCAGCTGGGCTCGCGCCGGCCCGGAATAGAGCCTCCCGTGAGCGGTCCGACGGGCGTGCACTTGAGCCCCGCTGCACCGGAGACCGGGAAACCACCGGCCCGCGGTACAGGCAGTTCGTGTCTCTCCCCACGCATCGCAGCCGGTCATGGAGCACTGTCACAGTTCACACCCGACAGTTGAGAGTTGACCAGTTGAGTTGGCCAGTTGGCCAGTTGGCCAGTTGAGACCCCGGCCAGCTCTGTCTGTCCCGATATGCAGCACTGGAGGTATGTGATGATTGCTAATTGATAGTCTCTTCCCTACGCGTCCCTGTGACACAGCCTCCCACGCCTATTCACACCGGCCACGGGCGAAGCCCGAAGGACGGATACAGCAAGCAGTGTGATTGTCGTCAGATAACACAGCGGGCAGTATAACTGCCATCAGCCGCTCCAGCAGGCAGTGTGACTGCCGTCAGCTAACACAGCGGGCAGTGTGACTACTGTCAGATGATCTGGCGGGCAGTATGACTGCTATCAGCTGGTCCAGCAGGCAGTGTGGCTCAGTGTTCGCCACGGGCCGAAAAATCCCAGCCCAGCCCGGCCCAGGCCCATGGGTTCACAGCCCGGCCCAGCCCGAGCCCGTTCTTGGTAAAAGCGGCAAAGCCCAGCCCAGCCCAGCCCATCAAAAATGAATGTATTTAACATTATGGAAAGAAAAAAATATCTTGAGAGCAGCATGCACAATGCATATTATTATTAAACATGCATACCTACTTAAATGATTAACTAGTTCTTCAGTCTTGCACACTGCACAATAATAAGATAGTTATGGTTTTTGCCCCAGTCGCGAACTATTCCACTTCAGTCCATTTTCAAGTTATCATGGCCCAGCCCGTCCACAGCCCATCAATCCTTCATATCTGAGGGCCCAGCCCAGCCCGTAGCCCAGCCCAGCCCATAGCCCACTGGGCTGGCCCGGCCCATGGCGAACACTGGACTGTGGCTGCTGTCAGCTGGCACAGCGGGCAGTGTGACTGCCGTCAGCTGGCACAGCGGGCAGTGTGACTGCCGTCAGCTGGCACAGCGGGCAGTGTGACTGCTGTCAGCTGGCACAGCTAGCAGCATGGCAACTGTTGACTACTGTCAGCTGGTTTGGCAGGCAGTGTGACAACTGTCAGCCGGAATGATGAGCAATCAACGCGGGCAGTGGGTGCTGGAAGTCGCGGCTGCCGACGGTCGGCAGTCCTCCGACAATCGGTAGACGTTGAGTAGACCTCCGACGGTCGGTAGAGCTCGGTAGACGCCCGATGCCGACCGCTGCGCTCGTCCGGGCTCGCTGTGGAAATGACGCAGGCGCTGGTAAGCACACACTGGCTCCCCATACAGATGAGCGTTCATCAGCGCCGACTCTCGGCCGAGCCGGGTCTGAACTCGGAATCACGGGTGTTAGCGCTGCATCCGCAATCGATCCGAGCCAAACATCAGCTCCGCAGTTTTACAGATATTGGAAAGGATCTTTGACGAAATTTGGCCTAGCATCGGCAGTAGCGGCGGAACACCTTCAATTAAGGGGGGGGGCAGTGCCGACTTTTGGTCCCATTCTTTCCATGCAACGCCCATAGGGCTAATGTTATGATTAAATCAAAGGGGGGCACGGTGCCCCGGTGCCCTCCCCGTTCCGCCGCCTATGAGCATCGGCCGCACCTACGAGCACATGATAGTTGATCCACAATTCCACAGGTCTCTTACGGATATTCTGCCGAAACATTTTCGTATAACGTAGCTAATTCATGCTATTTTAATGGCCCGAAAAAATGAATTTTGCCTCAGCGCGTCCTTTTCTCCGCTCGTTCTGTAGGCATATCGAGCGAGCCAAGTTCTCCGCAGTCCGCACCGTCCGGCCGCTCGGCCGCGGCGTGACATGTTGACCTTTCGGGTGGCCGGAGCGCAGGGCGCCAGCACAGCGCCGGAGCGACTGACTGCCGGCCCGCCGGGTGTCGTATAGCGCGCAGAGCCGCGACTTCGGCCCAAACTGGCAGCCGAATCACTGCCCTACACCGGCAGACACCCTGCCGCTGATAACGCCCAGTGTTTGTCGTTGAGGCCGTTACGTTACTGGCCTATGACTTTTGACCCATGAGATGGCAAAAGGGAAAAGGCGCAAACGGACAGTCGTTATAGCTTATAATGTAATTTTGCAAACGAATTAACAAATTAAATGGTGAGATGATGAGCTCTGACATCCGCTTTTAGAAGCATTCGATGAATGGTTCCCATTGAAAATATTTCGTGATTTATTTTCATGTTTTGCATTGACGTGCAAACAATATAAATATTCATCTAATAATGAAGTGAAAGGCGTTTGATTTTGTGGCGTCTTATGAGATCAGCTCAGCTCAGCTCCTGTAATTTTGTGGCGTCTTAGGAGATCAGCACCTGTAAACTCACCCCACTACATCAGCCCATTCCGCTCTCCCGTCCCAGGCTCACCTGCAGTTCCGGCGGCGCTCAGTCGCAGGTGCCGACGAACCGACACCAGAGGCCGGTCACGCTGGCCAGAAGTCCGCCTCCCGCTGCGGCCGACTCGTCCGCCCGGCGCTGTGCCGTCGGCGGCGGCAGGGTGGGCATGGTGGGCCGCACCCGCCACCGAGCCGACTCACCGCCCTCCGGCCACCGCACCCCGGTGGCACCGCCGGTCTCCGGCGCCTGCCGCTGCTGCCGGGGCACCTGTCTCGCCGGGTCGCGCCGCGCCAGGTCAGCCCGCCGCCGAGGGTCCGGCCGCTCCGGCGACTCGTCAGGCCACCGGATGCGGCCGCCGCCGCCCCGCTGGCCCTGCGGCGCGCTCCCTGACCAGGCGGCGCGCTCGCCGAGCAGCCGGCGGGACTCGCGGCCCCAGGCGGGCCCCGTGGAGCGGCTGCGGAGCCGGGATCCGGCCCAGTCGCCGTCCAGGATCCGGCTGGGGTCACCGCCGAACAGCCAGCTCGCCTCAGTCGTACTGGCCACCGGCAGCGCGTCTGGGAAGAACCAGCGGCCCGAGGGCGCCGCCTCGGTGGGCCGCGGCGGTACGGCGCCGAACAGCCACGGCAGCAGCGGCCGCTCCGTGCTGGCCGGCCGGTCGCTGCTGAAGAACCAGCCGCCCCCGCCGGTGGGCAGCTCCTCCTTCGGCCGCCCCAGCGCGTTACCGGGGCTGCTGAACGGATTGCTGAGGCCGTTGTTATTGCCGAAGGGGCTGCTCGGAGGCCTGTTATTGTTGCCGAATCCGCCGTGAATAGCATTGTTGTGCGGCGGCCAATCGGCCGGGTTTGGCCTCGGTGGAAACCGAGTCGGAGACGCAGACAGCTCCTGGTGCTGCCACCTGTCTCTCTCAGCCTCCCCCTGTGACCGGTAGGTGTCGGTAGGGCGCGGCGGGCCGGCCACCGGTCGTGGCCGTTCGGTGCTCGCCGGTACCGGTCGGGGGTTGGACCCGAAGCTGTCCCGGTCGCTCCGGAACGGCTCCGGTCGGCGGGTTGTGGGGTCGGGCCGCGGCGCAGGCCGGCGGGTGGTCGGGTCGGGCCGTGGCGCCGGCCGGTAGAAGGGTGTGGTGGTGGTGGTGGGCGGGACCGGCTCGGCGGCTCGAGCCGGCAGCGGCGGGTCGGCCACCTTGGGTTTACACTCGTTGAGCTGACAGAAGTAGTCGCGCTGGCCGTCGTTGTGACACCAGGTGCCGTCCGGGAAGTAGGCGCTGATCCCCTGGTCATTGAGGTCCTGACGAGGGGTGTACCACGTGCCAGAGTCCAGACGGCAGTAGATGGAGCACGCGCTCCACGGCTTCCCTGCGGAAAACACGCAGCGTCGTCAGCCTATGGGAGGAACTGTGACTTTGTAGCCCCGATACCAATAAACCGATGATAATGATAAAGGTGTTTTTAATATTTTTCACATCTTAACTGAGGTCTTTGGGTATCGCCTATCCGGAGAGAATCGACTACCTGAACGCCCTTTCCGACAGTTTTAATCCACCACCACCGCGCAACCTCCCGTCGTTCTGGCACAACCCTCTGATTGTCCCCCCCCCCCTCCTCTTCTGGAACTCTTTGTCTGAATGCGGCACCTGAGTGCCCCGTCACCCCGGGACTCACTGTCAGAGTGCGGCACCTGAGTGCCCTCGCCGTCGGGTCGGATGTCCTTGACGATCTGACTGAGCTCGCGGCACTTTTGCGAGGCGTACTGTGTGACGGAGAGCCGGTAGGGGCAGATGTCGCGGTCCTCGCAGAACTGGGTGTTGGTGCTGGAGCCCGAGCAGCGGCGCTCTGTGTTCAGCGGCTTCGGGTTGTCGCAGCGCCGCCGCGAGATCGCCACGCCTGCCGAACACAAACGGGGGTTAAACACTGATTTAGTGGGCACTGGGTAGTGGGTACCTTCCATTACCTGTCATTGAACCTGGAGTGGACACCGTTGGGAACACTGGCTTTTTGCGCCCTTGTGGAAATGACATGGGTCACAAGCTCGTGAGTGGCGTTGCACTATGCAGTCTACAAAAGGTTACTTGGCCACCCGGTCCGTCGTTTCCATCCTCAGGATGCTGAAGTCCCTCTCCTCCACGCCGCAACCCTCACTCCGGGCTGGACAGGCACAATTATCTCATGCGCGCTGCTCCCATGGAGCGGCACCGCTGCTCCCGAGGGAGCGCACCCCGTAGCCGGGTGCAGGGAGTGCTTGGGGGGAGGGGGGCTAGCCAGCCTGTACATTCGGACGGGCTCAGCCCCGGCGACTCTCTATGGTGTCTGCCCAGACCAATGTCTCCCCCTAATTCCTATCATCCTTCCGGCTCTGAAATGGTCTTGTCAGATCGAAAGGGCCTAAACCCATCCAAACAAACAAACAAATAAGCAAAATTACTTGGAATATCATCGAATGATTCTGAAGAGTTCCATCCATCGTCTTCCACCTTCGGGACCTGCTAGTTCTCACACTGGATCACCCACTCCAGTAAGCAAGCGGCGAGGACAGCTACCAATAAGAACAATATATGTACGAGCCACGAGGTGACCATTTGATTTGGGGGCTCTATCCCACGGAACGGACTTTCCCATCATTTGATTTAGAAACAAATGGAAGCTGACAGCGCCCGTGCAGTGCTCACTGCTCACTCAACGTGACTGACATATTACAAATGTCATTGAATAAATGCGCCATGGGAGCGTTCTGAGGAAAGGCATATGCCATATTGTTAACATTTAGGTGCATAGTTTGAAAATATGGCATGCCAACCGTTTTGCTCATAAATGTATGTTTTCACATTCATCTAAGAAATAAACATAATTTACCGTATCAATTAACCAGCTACTATGCTGTACCTACACTGTGCACTTGCACTGGGTAGTAGACACAGCCCCGTTTTCGCCCGGTCATGGACCGGTGGCAGCGTACCGGGCGTTCCACCTGGGAAAACGTGTCTGCTACCGCCGGCAAGGTAACCGGTGTCACGACCTGAGAGAGTCGTGCGCCGACTTAGCCCCGCTGCACAGCGGCACATACTCCTAACTGGTCGTGGAGAACGCGAATGAAAAACACTGAACTCACGTAACTGGAGGGAACTTTGGCATTTTAGCAAAACGGTGAATTTGTGGATTGTTCGAATTATCGGCGCTTCTGGGAGCAAAGGCTAGCCGATGTTTAGTTAACGTTTAACTCCGATAAAATGCATATCGGATTGGGGCATGAATTGCTATCATATATGGAGTATCTATCATCATTCTTGGGAGAAACGTACAGGCTTTCGGCGCGTTAGTTGCGCCATTCGCCAGTAGATGGCACTGACCGGTGGCCTTTTCGATGCATCCGGAGGTGCAAGATGAGACGTTCCAGCTGCTCCAGCCGCCCTGGATGATAGGTGGCGCTGGCGTCGACCATGCACGGCAGCTGCCGCTGATGCACCACTGCCGGAGGCAACAGAGGTCAGGTATGAGCGGGTCATCGAGATACATCAACGCAGCGATATAAATGACAGTCCGGTTTAAACCACCTTGCATAGATGTGGGTTGTGGAGTGTCATTTTAATATTAAACTCCACTATAAAACGGATCAGCATAAGTGAGTGTGGATAAATGGATGAACAAAAATATTACGCTCACTTTCACCGTTCCATGCTTCTATCCTCAGGATACGGAAATCCTTCTCCTCCACGCCGCAACCCCCCTCCGGCCTGGACAGGCAACTTTATCTCATGCGGGCTGCTCCCTTGGAGCGGCACCGCTGCTCCAGAGGGAGCGCACCCCGTAGCCGGGTGCAGTGAGTACCTTGGGGCTGGTCGGCCTGTCCTTCGGGATGGGCTCAGCCCCGGTGACCAGGGCGTATTTTAACATGTTAACTGGGTCGGCAATTGCCGACCCAGTCACGGAGAATGCCGACCCAGTGACAGCCGTTTGCCGACCCAGTTGCCGCCCCCTCTAGGATGCAGCACGCACATGCAGGCTAGGTGCCGTCATTCATAGTGAGGCTGCTGCCCTCCGAAATGATAATGCCGCCTCTTAAAGTGAAGCAGCCGTCTATAGAAAGTGATGGTCCCGCAACTCAATGTGACAGTGCCGCCCCTAAATCTGTTAGTAGCCCCACTCAATGTACCTAATGGTGCCGCCCTTCTAAGCATCTGTGGAGCCCCGCAATGTGATGATACCGCCCCTCAAGAAGATGATGCCGCCCCTTTCAGTATCGGTGGCGCCCCTCAATGTGATGATGCCGCCCTCAAAGTGCCGGTGGCGCCCCTGAATGTGGTGCTGCCCGCCAACGAGTCGGTGGCGCCCCTCAAAATGATGCTGCCGCCCCTTAAAGTGTTAGTGCCGCCCCTCATAGTGTCAGTGACGCTCTTCGGAGTGTCAGAGAAACCCACCAATTTAATGGTGCCGCCCCTCTAGGTATCCACATCGCCCCTCATTGTGATGGAGCTGCCCCTCAAGTAGATGATGCCGCCCCTCAAGAAGATGATGCCGCCCCTTTCAGCATCGGTGGCGCCCCTCAATGTGATGGTGCCTCCCTCAAAGTGCCAGTGACGCCCCTAAATGTGATGGTGTCTCCTGTCAACGAGTCGGTGGCGGCCTTCAAAATGATGCTGCCGCCCCTAAAAGTGCTGGTGCCGCCCCTTACAGTGTCAGTGGCGCCCTTCAAAGTTTTGGAGGAACTCATCAATACAATGTTGCCGCCCTCTAACTTTCTTTAGCGTCCCTCCATATACAAATACATAACGGTGCCGCTTCTCAAACCATCCGTGGCGCCCCTCAAAGTGATGGTGCCGCCCCTTACAGTGTCGGTGGTGTCTCCTCAAAAGTCAAGGTGCCGCCTCTCAAAGAAATGCTGGTGTCCCTCGAAGTGTCGGAGGCGTTCCTCAATGTCATCTTGCCGCCCCTCAAACCTTCCGTAACGCTCCTCAACGTCATGGTGCCGCCCCCCCCCCCCAATGTGCTCACGGCGCCCTTAAATGTCATAGAAGCGCCGGTCAAAGTGATGACTGTGCTCCTGGCAGTGCCGGTGGCGCCCCTTATAGTGTCGGTGGCGCCCCGAACAGTATCGGTGGTGCCCCTCAAAGTGATGATGTCACCCTCAAACAAACGGTGGCGCCCTTCGAAGTATCGGAGTCCCTAAATATCATACCTATTGCCGCCCATTAACGATCTGTAGCGCCCCTCCATGTGATGGAGCCGCCCCTTAACCCTCGCCGGCACAGGGGGGGTTGATGCACCCCCCCTAAGGTTTTTCGCGAATAACTCGCGTAAAAAGCGGCCGATTGCGACGAAACTTTCAGTACCCTCGCATTGATCAATTTTACACGTTTCCTGAAAATTTCATGACCCTGACCCCAATGACCTTTGACCTGTGACCTCTTTTCTGTGACCATGTTTGGCCGAAATCGCGGTTCGGCGCATGTCGGCTCGCATTAGCCGCGCGTTTGCAAGCTTTTCGTGGTTTTAAGCGTTCAAACATGTGATTTGATGTTGCTCCCATGCATTAGGGTGGGTGTCAAGGTCACCTGAAGGTCAGGTCAAGTCATTGACCTTTGGTGACCTCGGGTGACTTCGGTTCACTTTTTCGAGTTTTACATGTTTCTAGGCTAGTTTTTGGAGCTGAATTCGAATTTAGCAACCATTTGAACATTTACGAAGTAGTTTTCGTGCCTTCGTAACATGTTACGAAGCTGTCCGAGGCGGTTGACACGTATTACGAATACCCGTCACAACCCCCACCGGTTGACCTGACCTGACCTGACCCGACCTGGTCTAAATGCTTAAAGACATCATCTCTGATCAAAACTAACACGGTATTCGTGATCAGCCACCCGGAAAACCACTTAGCAGCCACACTTCACGACTTTCTAACAGGTCCCGATTTTCCCGGTTTTCGGGTCATTGACCTGACCTGGAAGGTCACCCGATGACCTAGGACCTTAAAATTGGGTATCATCGGCTTCCTCTCGTGACGGGCAACACGCTCGTTTTTTCCGCGAAGCTCTAGCTCGATCAGGGGCAAAACGCGAGGGGGGTCGTACCCCCCCCCCCTTGTGCCGTCGAAGGACTCAAAATGGCCTGTGCCGGCGAGGGTTAAAGTATCCGCGGCGGTCGTTCAAGTTACAGTGCCGCCTCTTACAATGGGGTGGCGTCCTCAAAATAAAAGTGATGTTGCCCCCCCCCCGAGTGATGTTGGCGTCTCTTCTTTAACCCGCGCCCCGTATGGCTACCAGCGGACCCCACCACCCGTAGGGGGGGGCGTTTCGCCCCCCCCCCCCAAGATCTCGGAAAGTTACCGGCCGATTTTCAAAATTCAAACGGCGATCGATAGCCCCACCCGGAAACTACCTTGTGACCAAATTTTATTGACCTAGGTCAAACCGATGACGTCACAGGTCAGGTCAAAGGTCAGATTTTCACCGTTCACAGGCATTTCAAGAAATGTGCTGTGAAATCGAGTAAATTGGTAATCTATTGAAAACCATCGATGGTACATTGTTCGTCAAACACATACTTTGCTAGCTGAGGTCACTGATACCAGGCCAGGTCACAGCGAGGTCAGGTCACCGGGGGTCACATTATGAAAGTGTCGTGTGATACATGTTTAATGGTCCATTTTACATGACAAATGCGATTATGTGGGTTAGGCAGCCTTTGGGGCCAGCTTAGGTCACGTTTTGGTGAAGGTCAGGTTAAGGTCAGGTCAAGTTAGGTCAAATTTCAAAGTTGATATTTTTGCATAAAATTGGTATTGATTCGATGCAGCTCGTCACGGGGAGTCTAATGGTGGTCTTTGTTTTGCTCTACGAGGTCTAGAACTGCCAAAAATTGAGTTTGAAAATTTGACGTCATCATTTTTGAACAGTTTTTTCGCTATAACTTGGCCAAAAAACGAGGTATCGATCTGAAATTTGGTATGTAGATAGAAGACGGTAGGTACTATCACATATATTCCGGTTTTTCAAAACTCAAATAACTTTTTGGATTTTTTGGTTAATATATATAAAAATATGCTTTTTTAATTTTTGGGGGTCAAAACTCAAAAATTTCAAAAATCCGAGAAGCAGTTTTGTAGCCCTGTCAATTCTACACCTTTTATGTCCAAATCATTTTTCTGTATCTTCAAAGCTGTAGGCCTGACAGGTCTTCTCGCGAAGGTCTTTTTTCGGTCGAAAATGACAACATGACGTCATTCTGACGTCATTTGTGGCCAACCTATCATAACCTCTGGAAAAAGTTTTGGTCACAATGTGTAAAATCATAGATAACATGAACTACCTAGGTAGTTCATGTACCTACCTAGGTAACTAGGTAGTTCATGTTATCTATGGTAAAATCAATGCCCGGAGGGGTCCTGAAAGTTTGGTGGCGATATCTCCAGCCGTTTAGGAGATATCGACCGAAAAGGACAAGGGGGCCGTTTCGGCCCCCCTACGGGGCGCGGGATCTACAGGGTCTTTCATAATGAATGTTATTTTTAACATAGCCATAGCTCAGGTGATATACATCACAAAGTTATGGTCAATACCCGAATGAAATAGCAAATCATGGGAAATTATGTGTACATTACTCGCATTTAGGTACCCTTCGTCGATTTTTAACTGTGCCGCCTCGCTTTCGGACCCAGATTTCGGCCCGCTGACGCAAATGGTGCATCACGCGCTTCATATCCTCCGCGCACAGCATTGCAGTAAACCTCTCCATGTGACCTGTAGCTCTATGAGGGTCACTGGAAGGACATTTGCTGGGGGCCTCCAAGACGACTGCCCAAAATCAGAAGTCCATCGGCGAGAGATCAAGGCTCCAAGCTGGCCATGGCCGCTCAGTGAGACGGCTGATCACTCGTCAGTCAAAGTTGCCATCCAACCACACTGGCGCCCAGCCGCCGTTGTGTCACTTCAGCGCCGTCCTGCTGAAACCAGCGGCCTTGTCTTCGAACCACGCCAGGCAGATGAGGCCAGAATTCTTTCTTGAGCACTGAGCAGCCTCAGATAAGCTGGCCCGGTCACTGATCAGCCAGAAGCGAACCAGTAGACGCAGACACGCCCGTCGACCACGGCAGCCCAAAACATGACTTTTCGTGCGTTTTGTTCCTTGCAGTCAACCGTGATATTCTGGAATCTGTTCACAAGCCTGTGATCATTTTAGAGCGGACATTGTGCTTCTTTTAAAAGTGTCCCCGAATTTTACGGTGGACAGCCGTGCGCTTCAGTGAGCCGTTTCCCACGACCACCCAAAACGCCTACGTGAAAAAAAGAGAGCTGACCCGTGTTTTAGGGGGAGGCATTTCATGTCCGCACAAACGGGAAGTTTGGTGAAGTGTGGCAGTTTTAATTACCTACATCAACAGAAATTCCAAGAAATTTGCAATAAGGTAAATACAAAATTTATGCTTTTATTATTTACGAACACCTTCAACTTCGCGTTTTAAAAATCACATTCATTATGAAAGACCCTGTATATAGTATCGGAGGCGCTCCTCATTGTCATTTTGCCCCACATCACTGCGCACATGGCGCCCTTCAATGTAATGGTGCCACCCCCAACGCTCAAAGAGATAATTGCGCTTCTCACAGTGTCGGTGGTGCCCCTCAAAGTGGTTTAAGTGCCCTAAAAAAGTTGGTGGCGCGCCTCAAAATGATGCTGTCGTCCCTTAGCATATCTGCAGCGCCTCCAAAATGATAGTGCCTTCCCTTCCCTTCCCTTCCCTTCCCCGGCGCCGGGCTGAGGTTTGAACCCCCCTCCCGACCCCTATAACTTGGCTACTGGGCCACGTAGCGATACGCGGTAAGCGGCATTCGAAAGAGTGTCAAAAACTACTTGGGTTAATTGATTAACCGTACTTTGGTTAGGTCAAGTCAAATGTCAAATATCAGGTGACCAGAGGTCATCAAAGGTGAAATGTGAGTGAAATGTTGTCTGTTTCAACATTTATTGACAAACTGGCGCATAACTCGGGGAAGAATAGAACTACAGCACCGCGAAAAAAGCGCATTCGATTGCTCTTCAACGTTCCTATAAAGTCCTCAGACTTGACCTAACATCAACGGCTTAACCTCCAGAGCACAACTAGTTTAACCCGTGCCGGGCCGGGGAGGGTTGGCGTGGACAGTGGACCCCCCTCCGCCCCTCTACTGAGCTGTTTTAATGAAGAACCTTTTTACTGTAATAACTATTGACTCACGAAAGTTATGACATTATTTTTTCAGTACTGTGCTCCTCTCGTCGAGATGCGTCGAATGAACTATAATTTGACATTCAAATGTCATTTGGGAAATTTGAGCTCAGGTCCAGGTCATGACCTGACTGGTAAAGGTCGCATTGCATATCAGTCGATTTGTATCGTCAAACTGAAATCATCTAAGGTGTTTTCATCGCTCAGGCATGTCGCATGTATCTATCAGAAGTTATTGAAAAAACTGCTGGAGGCCTTCCATGACCTGACATGACCTCAAGGACCTAACGAGGGGTCGTGGGTGGCAATTTTCCGATTAAGTGTGTCATTTTTAATTGTTTTATGATGTTTAAATTCGTTAACTTTGACATTTGTCTACCTATAAAAAGAGGCATGCATGCCCTGATTTTCTCCCATTTCCTTATACCTAATGGAAGGGTCGCAAAAAATTGTCCTTACCTTTGGTCAAAGACATAGCAATTTCGAGACTTACATTTTTATATACAGTTACACACTGTTTGTCTTATCAATCGCTGAAGTTATAAAGGGATCGTTCAGTCGGTGTATCTATGGTGAGCATTTGCCTGTTCCGTAGCTCAGTTGGTAGAGCACCGGACTCCCCGCATTGTCTTCGCTTGCGTTTTGTCCGCCGGCCGATCCGGAGAGAAAGTTACCGAGTGAAGGTCATTCAAATTTCAAAAACTCAATGAAAATGTCACTGGGGTCACGAAAATATTTGAGTAGGAAGGTATACCATTCATTAACTTGGGGGGGGGATGAACGTATCGTTGAAACTTACAATACGCTGTTCATTACGCGAGTAACTAATGAATAAAAAATGTATGACTTCATCCTTACTCCACCCGCTCTCCCTCTCCATAAAAAGAGAGTTAATTGTGTTGCATTTTATTTAGATGCAGAAAAATAGAGGCGTCAAAGGATATGGCCGAATATCAGCGACCCTTGCTGTGTAAGCAATGGGGCTTGCAATGGGGTATGACAAGTGGGGGTAATGGCCCCGTCCAGCGCCCATAAAGTGGGCACCACTCGTGCGACCTGCCGACCACTGTTCTAGAGCCATAAAACACCGTGAATGTTTTAAGCTTGACGATACGGATCGACTGGTATGCAACATGTTTTATTTATGGTGAGGTCATGAGCTTGACCTCAGGTAAAGTCTTTAAATTAATTTTTGTTAAGTCAAATTATAGCTCATTTGTCGCATTATGACAAGAGAAATACTATATCCCGGGAAAATAGACGTAATACCTACCGCTGAGCTTAGGTAGGTTGAATCTGAAATCATTACTTAGAAAGAGTTATAAAAGAACCGTCGAACGTGTCTTTTTTTGTCATTAAACATCAGTAGGTATGGCGCCCCCCTCAGATGCCAAGTGCCGCCCCTATGAGTGCAAAATGCCGCCCCTAAATGTTATTGCCGACCCAGTGAAAATCCCTTAAAATACGCCCTGCCGGTGACTCACTAGGGTGCCTGCCCAGACCAATGTCTCCCCCTAATTCCTATTATCCTTCCGGCTCTGAAATGGTCTAATTGGACCGAAAGGGCCTAACCCAACAAAACAAAACAAAAACAAACAAACAAACAAAACCGCTCACTTTCCCCGAAAACAAAGCGCGATTGCATTCCGAACTTGCATTTGCACTATGTTTCAAAATGTCTATAGGCTCCTGTCCCTAATTCTCTTACCTATGCCATGCAAAACGCATACCTATTTAGTCTGCTTCAATGTCATGCATTTAAATCATCCGCTAGTCCTATACGCATCGGTAACTCATTCCCGCAGTAGGTATCGCGCATGCCGCCTGGACCGGCCGATGCCGTCGTGGCTCAAAGGACATCATCGTTCCAGGAATCATGTCATCACCGTTCGACCACAGCACCTGTAGTGCATTCTTCCTCAAACCAGCTGAAGGGGCCGGGAAGGTCGCGGAGGCCTGGCTTTTGGGGTAAACACAACTACACCGCAATTAAGGAGCCCGCAAATCCATCATAAAGTCCCCGAGGAATTTCGGTAGGAATTATTCTCTCAGTGTATGAGCTAATATTTTAGCCCACAATGTTTTCGATAGATAGGTATAAGTAAGTGCGCTGCATAAAAACTCATGCAATGACGATAGCGCTTAGAAAGGTGTATAGTGCATACACAAAAGACAATGCGACGAAAAATAGCAATGAGCTTTCAGATTTTTCGATCATCTAAGGGTTTGCCTTTATTTCACTATTTGTCAAGGCGACATGGCTATTGGCTATAAATTGTGGTCGAATATGACCGACAGGGTTGCGTAAACATTTGTAGCTGTCTCCGTTCAAACGACTTACAAACAAATGAATGAAAGAACATTAACGCAAAAGATCAACATTTTTTAAATATCATTTTTTCATTTAAATTAATTTTATCCTCCTTGTTCCTCCTCTCTCTCTCTCTCTCTCTCTCTCTCTCTCTCTCTCTCTCTCTCTCTCTCTCTCTCTCTCTCTCTCTCTCTCTCTCTCTCTCTCTCGCTCTCGCTCTCTCACTCTTCCTCACACTCTTATCACTAATTTCAGCAACAGTATCTTCTTCATACCTTCCCCATTTCCCCTCATATCTTACCCTCCCCCTCATCCTCTTACCCTCTCGCGGCCGCAGAAGGTGCCCTCCAGTGCCGGCCCCGCGTAGTAGTAGCCGATCCGGTTCGGAGACTTGCACTTGACCCGTTCACACACGTCCTGCGGGGGCGGTGCAAAAATGTTAGGGTGATCGTAACGGAAACTGGAAAGCAGCGGAGCCTACAAGAGGCAGGAAATGGCCTGATGTTCTAAACGATCAATGGACTACCATATAATTATGCCAATCCATTGACCTCATGTTTTGTCACGTTTTTACTTTTTATCTATACGCTATGTTTTCATCATGCTAGTTCATCATATGAAGTGCCTACTTCGTAGTCTGGTGATAGTCAATGTGCTACCTATTAGCAACTTTCTGTGCAGAACATGATACGAATTTCCTGAAAATTGATCAACCTTTTACAAGCTTAATAGATAGAGAGTCGAAAGACCTTAGTAAATTAAGCATATCGGCACGTCAGCACGAAGTGACATTTCTATCATCTCTGCATGCGTCCTCAGCGGCGCGGTCGGAGGTGTACTCACATACAGGTCCTGGGTGCTGTACACACTGGCGTCCTTGTCCTTCAGCAGCAGCTGGCACTGGTCGAACGCATCGTACACCTGGCCGGGCAGCTCGCGGAAAATGCGGTGGTTCTGCACGGCGCTCTTCCGCGGTAGGTCGTTCAGACAGTTCTGACTGCAAAACAGGGCAAAGTTACTGGTAAACATGCATCGTCATGATAAGTTGAGCAGTCCGGCTAATTGAGCCTAAATCCTGCTTGCTAATGAACTTAATAATTAGACTCGTAGCCTGCCCTACTCGTGTCGTAGCTCAGTTGGCAGAGCGTCGGACTCCCGGTAGGCCGGTAGCGTGACGCGGGTTCGAGTCGTTCCTTCGCTCGGTATTTGAGACTCCTGGCGAGAATGGTCTGCAGTTTGTGGGAGCAGCCGCAGCCAGTTGAAGTCATAGGCCGTGTCCGTTTTGGTGGTCATGTTTAACTTTCGGTGTCTAAATTTTCCCGTTACCCAGACGGCATGGGATCGGGGTCTACGCAACAAGCGCTGCCTAGCGTAGGCTCCTGCTCTGTCGATCCGTCCATTCAACATCCGAGCTAAATTTATGGGAAAAAAGCGCTGCGGCAGAGGCCAACAGTTGGTGTGCTAGTGCGTATAGACTTTATTCATAACGCAAAACGATATTTTACATTTAGATACAGTATGAGTGCCGGTGTAGTGAAAAGGTTTTGAAAGTTTGCTAAGCTTCATTTATAATCTGTCCTATTTTGCTGCTCACATGTGACAATGTACTCAGCTTCATCGAACCATAACGCTAATTGATAAGAGCAACATCACTATTGTGGCTTGTTATAATGCATTTAGATGTGCCTATTGCCTATGAAGAAATCCGAGATAACATGGTAGGGTTGCAGACTGCACCAAACCAAAAGAATGGCAAGTATTTATGTCATGAAGGGCTGGCTGGGTGCAAACCTTGAAAACGCTTATGATTTTACTGCACTTATGATTTAATTAAGTTCATTATGTTTTCCGTCTTTTGCAAATTGCTGTGGAGTTTTGATGTCTTACGACGATACAATGATTTATCGGTAGTTCTGATATTCCCTGCCCTTTTTATGATGTGCGTCAATATATATATTTCTATCGTTTACGTTGTCACTTGGAATTGTTTCTATGGCAATTTGGTATGACGATTGCCCGACGGGATGCTTCTAATTCTAGATTGTAAAAAAAAAAATAATGAATGGTAATGCCTTTTCTGTAATCAAAGATCAATGAAGTGTTCGTTCATCCATCATGTTTTGTATATCAGCTAAAACCAGAAACGCGCTAGCGGATAATAAAAAACCAGTATGACGCCTTTTGTGGCGACTAACGGAGCGAGCGAGAGGGTGGGCCTTGCACGTGCGAAATTGCGAGGGGGTACCTCCAACTGACTTGTGCACGGCACCTTACTAACCGGTCTCTAGCGATGTGCCAAATTTGAGCACAATCGGCCCAGCCGTTCTCGAGATCTGGAAGCGGCACCCTGCACGTGCGCACGTGCAAAATGGGTCCCAACTGACTTGTGCACGGCACCCTACTAACTGCTCCGTAACCGTGTACCAAATTTGAGCACAATCGGTCCAGCCGTTCTCGAGATCTGGAAACGACCCCTGCACGTGCGCACGTGCAGCAGCACCCCAACTCTGGCACATGGATATGCATTGCCTAGTGGGTGCCTACCTACATGCCAACTCTCAGCGCAATCGGCCCAGTAGTTACCGAGATATTGCAACAATTACAAAAGTGACACCTCTTGGTTTTGCACGTGGCACGTGCATAAGGGGTCACCCACATGCATCGGGAATAGTGCAATACTTGGTAGAAGGAATGAAGCTACCCTACAAAAATTACCGCATGTAAATCGGTCAAGTGGTTGCTGAGATATAAGCCTTGCAAAAGCGTGATCACGGCCGGCCGGCCGCTCATACTCAGAAATTTCCGTTAATCTAAGGAAAGACTACGCTCGCTTCGCTCGCTCCGTAATGAGTTGAAGTGCTCGGCTGCTCCAAGCAAATTTGAGACCTGCCCCCACTCATCACAAAAACGCCCGGCAAAGCCATTTTCGCACGAGTTTAAAGGACATCAAACACATCACACGCTGTTTTAGGCTTTCATCCTCTGTTAGCCTGAGTGCCAGTCACATTGTTTACGCCACAATCCTTAGCATAAGACTGCCGCGTGCACTGCAACCGTCGGCTTTGATCGACCGTGAAACGCAGACGTCGCACCGGCGCGGCTTATCCTCCGCTCTGTGGATGGGTGATATTCTAGCTGAATACCAAGTACTGCACCAGCCGAGTGTCTGCAGAGGCCACCCTCCCTGCCAGCGCTCCCCCGGTGTGCTCCTCCCGCCCTCCAGTTTCCCTCGGCTCTGCACCGCTCTCTACGCGGTCACGCGTTAGAGAGACCACCACGATGCGGAGCGCTGCGAGCTCTCACTTTCGTTTTCGTGACGTTACTGCTATGTGTGTTTCCTTGTGACCTGAGTGACTGTCACCGACAATGTAAGGTTACTCGTACTTTGTACAGTATGTTACGTCTAAATCGATTATGTAACCGCAGTATGATTCTTGCAATATGATGAATTCGATAAGAAGATTGATAGTCGTCGGTTGTACACCCGGTCGTCACTTGTCGGCACCATTCACTATGAGGAAAAATATGACAGCTTCATCGCAAATAACAGTATATTTCCACCACAACTCCAGTTCAACGCCGTGTTCCTTCTTCCATTGTTTACTCTTTCACTTTGTTTCACGATTATGGATAGTTTTTGCGATTTGTATCGATAAGTCACCGACAATCCTGCTGTTTGTGTTTCCCTGCTCCGCTGTTCCTCTGCCCCCCCCCCCCCCCCCGTCCGTCCGTCGGCACTCACGGCAGGCCCCGCAGTGTGTCGCGACTGCAGGAGGACCACGTCGTCTCCCCCTTCACACCACGACTCGGCGACATGATGAAGCCGTCCTTGGCGCACGCGTTCTGCTGACCGTCGTGGAACATGCCCAGGTTGTGGCCGATCTCGTGAGCCATGATGTAGGCGGACGTGAAGCCGGCAGACGGGTACGGTTTGCCCTGCGGAGGTGATGTCACGTCAGGTGGTGATGGGAGGCGCGCTGACGCGAGACAGGAAGATGGGGAGATGTGACGGGCTGGCCGGCGGACGGTGCGGCTAGCGCTGACGGCAGGTGGACAGTGGTGACGTTAACAGTCACTGTGACTACACACCGACACGACAGATTTTTACCGAGACTGGGATTTATCAGTCATCTGATGTCACCGCACTATTACAACGAAACCGAGCTTAGGAGGGATTATTTCGGCCAGTGCGGTAGTGGCATCATAGGAGCCATTATTAAAAATGAGCGCCGTAACCGCCTGAAGTTTTAACGTCACGTGATGAAACGTTTATCGACGGGACGGCAGGTGCTGATAAGCAATCGTAGAAAGCTCTGAAAGAGGTCATGCCGGTGTATTGATTGCGGCTCGGTGGGGCTCATTGGGTTTTATCGGTGGCTACGTATCGAGACCCGCTTGCATAACTCCTTTATCATGCTGTTCGTTAGACCGAGTAATCAGACGGCCCGGAAAACTGGTTAGCAGTTCAACAACCGGCTCGCGCGCATTTACCCTGGAGTCAATTAGAGAACTTATAGCAGCTGAACTCGCGCTGCTTTTTCTTCTAATATAATGGAATTAGTGCTGGAAAGGGCTACAAACTTATTCAAATTTCTATTCACTTTTTAACCTTCCAGGCGGTGGGGGGTGGCATTTTTTTGCCCCCCTTTAGTTTTTTCGATATATCTCAAGAACCGCTGCGCGGATCATCACCAAACTTTCAGTACCCTCCCGGGAGTAGCTAGCGCACATGGTGACCAAAAATTTCTCCAAAGGCTATGATAGGTTGGCCGCTAATGACGTCAGAGTGACGTCATTTTTGCCATTTTCGACCCAAAAAAAAGGTTTCGCGGGAAGAGGTGTCAGGCCTACAGCTTTAGAGATACAGAAAAATGTTTCAAAATAAAAGGTGTAGAATTAAGAGGACTACAAAACTGCTATTTCGGTTTTTCGAATTTTTTTATTTTGACCCCCAAAAATAGAAAATAGATTTTTTGAAAATAATAGCCAAAAAATCCAAAAGGTTTTTTTGAATTTCGAAAAAAACAGAATTTATGTGATAGTCCCTACCGCTTTCTATCTACATACCAAATTTGAGATCAATACATCTTTTTTTGGCCAAGTTATAGCGAAAAAACTGTTCAAAATTGATGACGTCAAATTTTCAAACTCAATTTTTAGCCATTCTAGACCTCGTAGCGCAAAATAAAGACCACCATTAGACTCCCCGTGACAAGCTGCATCGAATCGATACCCATTTTATGCAAAAATATCAACTTTGAAATTTGACCTTTTTTGACCTGAGATTGACCTGACCTCCACCAGAAAGTGACCTAAACCGTACCTGATGGTCTTATAACCAATACCATTGAGTTGGAAATGAAAAACTGGCCATAAAACATGCATCGCACAACCTTAGTAAAGTTGGGTTCATGTGGTGACCCTTGGTGACCTTTGGTGACCTGACCTGTGACCTGACCTGGTATGACCAGTGACCTCAAATAGCAACATATGTACTAGAAAAATGACGCCTTATCGCTGATTTTCGACAAAATGCGTTTTACTCGGTGTTATAGCGCTTTCCCTAGAAGCCCCGTGAACGGTGAAACATTTTATCTTTGACCTGACCTGTGACGTCATCGGTGACCCCGAGGTCAATGAAATTTGGTTCCCCCTGGCAAATTTGACAGGGCTATCGAACGCCGTTTGAATTTTCCGGATCCGTCCAGTAGTTTCGGAGATACGAGGGGGGGGCAAAAAATGCCCCCCCCCACCGCGCGGAAGGTGGCTGGGAGGCCCACCGCCTGCCGGGTTAACAGTGACGGTGTGTGCGATACCTATTGTAACCACTGTTCACACTGTAATACGGTCGCTGTCCATCGTCCTCACCTGGCTGTTGGTGGTGCCGAGCTCCCCGATGACGCACGAGTATTTCGGGGAGCAGACGCCGGCGATGACGGCCAGACCCATGGTCACTGGGGACCGGCGGCCCTTCAGCTGCTCGAAGAAATCCAGACTGGAACGGAAATGACACACCTTGTGAGAATTACACTGGCAATAAAAACACAACAGTACTGATAAGTCTCCTTTCTTCAATTAGGTACTGTAAACTATTTCCACTTGCGTAAGGGCAGTAAACACTAGTTCATTGCATATCATCAGCTTTAAAGCAAAACTTCCAATTAAAATGTACTCTGTGCGTAGCCTTTTATCAATGCGAAAAAATAAACAATTATGTTCATGATAAATTATATCGATACTTATCATTTTTTCCACATTACTCATAATTTATTGTCTACTGGAGGATCAGGTGGATATCTGTCTTATCGCTGAGACCCAGGCTCAATGTCAGCTATGTGTAGTGAGTGTACGGACATGCTACACGATTTCATTAGAAAAAAACACGATTCTCCATAAATCATATTTGAGATAGTGATGCAGGTAACTCGATCCTGTTACCCGGACTGTCCTGTCCACAGCCTACCGACCCAGTCTGCCACCCGGACCAGACTGGACTGTCCTGTCTACAGCAGCCTGCCCCCGTCTGCTACCCAGACCTAGCTAGTGCTGTCAGCCGCGTCCATAGCTGCTCGACCCAGTCTGCCACCCGGACCAGACTGGACTGCCCTGCTGGACTGCCCTGTCCACAGCCTGCCGACCCAGTCTGCTATCCGGACTGGACTGTCCTGTCCACAGCTCCTCGAGGACCCAGTCTGCCACCCGTACTAGACTGGACTGGACTCTCCACAGCTCCTCGAGACCCAGTCTGCCACCCGGACCGGACTGGACTGGACTGTCCACAGCCGCCTGCTATCCGGACCATACTGGACTGCCCTGTCCACAGCCTGCCGATCCTGTCACTGCTATCCGGAGTCCGGACCGGACTGGACTGTCCTGTCCACAGCTCCTCGAGACCCAGTCTGCCACCCGGACCGGTGCCAGCAGCGCTGGAATGTCACTCTCAGACGAGGAAAACGGACACCGTCACCAATCCCACACACCCAGCTAAGCGGGCCGATTTGCAATCGCCGTCCTACGGCGCTGATTTACCAGGGTCGGTCTAGTCATGAGATATGAGGCACCAGCTAGGAAATCAGTTTTCGGCAGGCGGTGGGACCTATCAGAGTAAACGTTTGGTTGTATGGCTTGATAAGATTTTCCTCGATACATCCTGCAGTCTTGGATGCAGTGTATCGGAGCGAAATAAAAATGTCTTTTTGTCCTGTAACTATGCACTGCAGCATTATGCAATCCTGCCAACCCTTGAAATGAATAATCATGATAAGGACAATGATTCAATACGGCTACTGATCGCTAGGCAAACGCAATTCGATGTCCAGGAATGCTTAATTGTAATCTGTATTGAAGAGACACTTTATTTGCATGCGGACAGTTTCGATGCTCGTAAACGTTTTCTCTCGTCTGGTAAGTGATATATTCTACTAAGCAGCTTACATCGTGGATGCTGACCACTCTTTATCGTCTGAGGAGCGCCGTTGCTAGTGAATGTATCCCCCACTGGACAACCGTGGTATGCCAGCCTAAGGAAATGACGCGCATGTGATCATCTATCTGAAGGAGATATGGAAATAAGCCGTCTGTAATCACATACAAAGTACCAGATAGTAACGAAGGTTGTGGCTTTTTATATAAGCTTGCATGAGGCGAGAATATGAGGGCTCATACTTACATCCATTCATTTAACGAATTATATGCTTACATTTTCCTCGGCCAAAAATTACAAGCATCTGTTGCAACTGCAAGAGCCCTTAGCATTTACCAGACCGAAAAAAAAAATCCAAAAGGCTACCAAAACCATTACCCGTAAGTGCAGACACTACACCTTTTTAGGCGCAATTTCAAAAAGTTAAAGGCCAAATCCAAAAAGTTTACATTCAAAATACACGTGAACGTTTTGAATTTGGTCTTTGACTTTTTGAAATCGCGCCTAAAATGCTGTAGTTTTTGAGTAAAGTAAAACTGATAGCCTAGACCTTTGCCTAGACCGGGTCACCTAGGCGTATGATATACCCGGAGAGGTAGCCTCCCTAATTTTCACCTACCCGGAGAGGTAGAGTCCCCCAACTGTCACCTACCCTGCGAGGCAAGTCCCCATTTGCCACCTACCTGCAGAGGTAGAGTCTCTAAATACTACCTACCCGGAGAGGTTGAATCCCTCTTAATCACCTACCCAGAGAGGATAGTCCGACTATCACCTACCCGGAGAGGTAGAGTCCCATGTCCCAGGTGTTTTTGCCGGGCGCCTTCTTGTTCCTGCCGGCGTTGTAGCGACAGAAAGAGGTGAGCAGCTGCGCCCGCTCCCCGTCGTAGTGGCTGATCTGCTGCGTCTCCATTATCTCCAGGTAGTTGATGCTGATGTCCACCTTGGTGCCCAGACTGGGCAGATAGTATAGCGCCTGAATCTGAAAAGGGACGTGGGATGCCGTGGGACACGCTGCAAAGGTGTCTGCTATCGTAAGGAATTATATCCCTCGCCGGCCGAGGGGGGGCGGGTGCCGCCCCCCCATAGGTTTTTTCGCAATAGCTCCGAACACGCTGGCGATAGAGAGCTGAAACTTGGCATACCTGACCTTTGATCCAAGCCGCATCTTTTGACATCAATCGCATTTTTGGGTCAGGTCAGGTCACTGACCTATGACGTCATAAGTGAACCTCTGCACGGTCTACAGATGTCGCAACTTCGCAACGCCCTCACTGCCAGAGGAGATGTCACAGGGAAAGGAAACTTGCAGGATCTAGTATTCATTATGATTCACACAACTCGTATATCTCGGATTTTTCCTGAAGGTCATATGAGGTCAGGTCATTTTCGTGACCTCACCATTATAAGTCAATGGGGAAAAATGAAAACTGCTATTCTGACGCCGGGAACGATCTCCAACTATCTCAAGCATACAGTATCGTGATTTGATGCACTCCTTGCAAGGGTAGATGCGTCACTTTTGCAATGTTGACCTTGCGTGACGTCATTTATGACGTCATCAAGGTCATATTAGTTTTTCGTCAATAACTCCCGATCAAATTGAGCTAGCGAGTCGGGAAAACCACCAATGGACTCAGGAAGACCTGCCAAATCGAATGATATGCGACATGACCTCTTTCGACCAACTTCGTGACCTGGGGGTGCTAACCTGACCTTGACCTGAGGTCAACACCCTAAGTTGACCTGACCCGAACAAAAAGTATATCATTCGACGCGCCTGAGCGAGACGAACACGATGCTGCCAAAATCGCGGCTCTGCGGCCGTTATTCACCATAGTTATTCACCAAAAACTGAACCGTACCTTGGGGCACTTGACCTGACCTCAGAGGTCACCGGTTGACCTAGGACCTTAAAATCGGGTACCAATCTCTGCGTCTCGTAACGGCGCACACGCTCGTTTTTTCCGCGACGCGCTAGCTCCACCAGGGGCGAAACGGCGAGGGGGGTCGTACCCCCTCCCCCCTCGGCCGGCGCGTATGTAGAAAACCAATAGGTCCGGCGAGGTATGTAGGAAGGAATCGATGCGCGTACGATGCCTCGAAGTATCGAAGTCCGGAGTTATTTTCTTTTTTGATCGTTGTAAGGAAGGTTCGTCTCGCTCCTTCGTAAAACTCATGGATAATAAAACAATAACCTCCTTGTAGTTAGAAGCTTGAATGGGAGAATTTTTGGTATCCGCTATGACCCAATGGATCATGGAGCTACTACGGTACTTATGCATAAGCGAATTCTTGAAAGACTGGCTATAGATTGACAGTGTGGGACGTGGGTGTCAATGACCACGATGACAGCATGTTGTAACGGTTGGTTGCCGCTTCTAGGCCAGGGATTGGGTGTACCCGGCCTGACGCCTTAATCTCTTGTTCAACAGGATTTGTGTCGGACGTAAAAGAGCTACTCGAGATTGATCAGAAGAAGCATTCCACTTCACATTTGTAAGTGGTGATACAAGAAGCTCGGCAAGCGTCCATTGCCAATATCGTTCCTTTCGTTTATATCTGGGAAGATCTGAGACAAGAGCCAAAGAATATTCAAAGGTAGCAAAGTGCGTGATGGCATACAAACGTCTGGTAGAGTGAAAAAAAAATGAAGCTGCTGCATTCTTTCTAATGTTTTACGACCATTCATCTCATTTTACGCAACTATTGAATAGTAGATCAAAGTTGACCGGGGATAGGCCCATCATATCTGCAAAATCGTTTGATCCTACCCCACATTCTTTGCCAAGTTGCAATGCTTTTTATTCGCCCACCACAGTCACCCGGGTCACTTACCTGGTTTATGAAGCCCAGGATGAAGTCGACGAAGGCGTTCATGTCGTTGTCGAAGAAGGGCAGGAACGTTTCTCTGGCGGCCTTGTCGACGTAGAGGCCGAGTTCGATCATTCTGCGCCCGTCCCGGGTGGGCAGGCGGTCCTCCTCCAGGGCCGCCGCCGCCTGACGGACGGGGGGGGGAGGAGCTGAACAATGATGACGACGCTACAGACGAGAGTTCGAGGGGTGAGGGACTGAATATTGGTGACAGAACGGCGGACGGAGGGGTCTGAGCATTGAGCAATGGTGACAGACGCGGCGAACAGGGGGAGGGGGTCACCATGACCAAACAGAGACAGACGAGGTGGACAGTCGAAGGTCAGGAGCTCCATGAATGGAGGATCAATGACCGGAGCGACTAGATACGCTGAGGGAACGCCAATAACATATTGATGGCAAGCGCAATCAGGCAGTTAATACTACAGCTTTGATCAGTGTCATTAGGATATTGTGTCATCACTTTAAAGTGAAGACATATTAAAGCAGCGATGCCTATCGCCTATCGAACAGCGATGGAACCACCAAGCTAGCTCAGAAGACTTACCGTTTGCAATACCCTCGTGCCGTCTTCTAGCGTAACGATATCATCGTCGTCATCGAAGTCGTCGGTGTTTATCTCGTCTGAAATCGAGGTCAGAAGCGTTCATAAAGGTATGCCGTCCAGGAGTACAGTGCAGCTGGTCAGAGTGTCTCATTGGGATGCCAGCCGTGTCGTTTCCGTTACATATTCCATCATCTCAGCCAATGGTAATTGCGACACGGGAATTCTTCTGCCTCCAACTATTTCACGTATAAGTGCATGGACATCATTATTGCAAACCCCATTCTTGTGTAGCATAACTAAATCCCTTATGTTTGTTGAATTTAAAGCACCCAGTTCGGAGTTCTTTGAATTCCATGATCGCGACTCGCGCGGTGCAAAGCTCGGTGTGGCAATGGCCCAGCCCAGTGGGAAAGAAAAGTTACACGATCTGCCGGCTGCGATCGGCATCATGAATTTCCTGTCTGTCTGTGCGGCTACCGGCCGGGCTGGGCCACTCCCGGACAGCGCGCTAACCAAACTCTCGACCGGACTGACAGCTAGGCCGCCGAGCGGGACCGCCCCCCGCGCGAAACTCACGACCTGCCATCCCGGCAGCCTGACACATGGCAGGCACCGCGAGCCGCTTGAGACTCGAGAAAAATGTGCCGTAAGATGTTTCTGTCTGGACGTCCAGGCACGGTGGCTGGTTGACGTATGATGAGTGTGAGGGATGCTCGATTCCCGTCCTGTCCAGTGGGCGGTAGGTGCATTTTTAGAGGTCTCCAAATACATGGCCAGACTGGCAGATCCGGGAAGGGGAGAGGGTCGGCGGAGAAGTTTGTAGAAGACAACCATTAACTAGCCAGTGAAAGTAACTTTTCTGCGCAGGTTGTGCTTTGTTGATAACGGTGAAATATATGTTTCTCGATAAAAAATGTGACATAGGTATTGTACATACACATGATGTCCACATGTGTATTATGTCGACATACATATGTGGTATATTGATGATGTTCGCTTAGGTAACTACATACCTATCTTATAAGAAAAATCTTATAAGTCCACCTTCAGGATCTTCTTTTATATAAAAAACATATGTGCCCAAAAATAATAAAATATCATTTGACATAAAGGTTATTATGAAAGAAACATAACGAATCTTAGTCCTGAAACGCATTTCCACACTTATACAAGGCACACGTTTCGTTCACGCATCGCTCGTTCATACGTACGCGGGAAGACGAAGTCGTTCTGGATGTTGATGCTGTGGACGAAGGAGTCGATTTCAGTGGCCTTGGCGCGGCGGGCCAGGTGGGGGAAGCCGACAGAGGTCGTGGACCTCTTGCTGTGAGTGTGCACCAGCTCCTTGAGCCGCGGTGTGAGAGGTGCGATGTCGAGCAGCATCTCACCGTCTGAGACAAAACCGCGCTGGAACACGGCCACCGTCAGATAGGAAAAATACTGCGCTCGGCAGGGAGGTCTGCAGGGGAGGGCTAGCACTAAAATTTGCAGGGGGAACAACACTACAAGTCTGCGGGAGAGAGCTCACACTACAGGTCCGCAATGGAGATTTCACGCTACAGGTCGGCAGGAGGGGGGGGGGGGGCTCACACTACAGGTCCGCAGGGGAGGGTTAACACTTCAGCTCCGCAGGGAAGGGCTAACACCACTTTACAATAGACGGCATCCGACACAGGCGGCTTGGAGAACACTTGAACCGCGACTCGGGCGTGAAATGAATACCATGGAAAACGAGTGTCGTCTGGGTAGCCCCTTCTGAAGTGTTGTTTTGGCATGGGTCGCTAGAGAAACTATTCTACTTTTACTATGCATTTTCTCGAAGTCGGAATTTTACCAAATGAAGAAGTATAGCGAAAATATCGTGGAATAAATTATGATATCATGGAAAATTGATACATGATCATACATTCATCTTATCTTCACAGCAATAAGTGCCTAATGTCGAAACGTTAATAGCTGCACCTCGTTGATACCTTTTGCACGCTGGCTCACCCGTTGACTCAGGGAGAAGGAAAGATCCTCAATTATGTGACGAAGGTATGGGATATTCCAGCTGCCAGCAAGCGGCATGAGGATGACTTTGCACCATGAAGTCATCAAACAGCGAAAACGGCGTATCGCACCAAGTTCTGAAGCTACAGTTTTCTGTGGTCAGATGATAGATTTGGAATAGTTTTTATGCGGATGAAGTGCCGCTTCTAACTTTGATGACGAGCACTTTCAGTATAAACGTTTTCTTCCACAGTTCCCTTAAAACTGTTATTTACCCGTGATCGGCTTCTGTGCATTCGTTGTTTTGTACAACGTGAATGCTGGTTTTATGAAAAGTCTCGCAAAGCGTGGATGTTTATCGTGCAATAGCGAGCTTTGTATTGCATACAAACAACTTTCAACGCGAACAATCCAGCACTCGTGCAATTTGAAGTGTGCAGTCGAGGTCCTGTTATAATCCCTTCAGTACAAGGGGCAGCCTTGTCTAGCGGAGAGCCTCGCGGTCGTTATGGCCACTCAATCATTTTGACGGCGGCCCGGTACACATCGCTGCTCATACCGTTTATTTGTGGCTCCTCCATTCCAAGGTCAAACATTAAATCGCCGGTTACATTTGTTGAATGCCGTGAAGGTCACCAGGCTTAAAATGCCGGTGGTGAGTGGCCCTAAATGGTGTTTACCTCTGCGAGCAAAGGCACAAAAGTGATGTTAGGATAATCTGTTTGACAGTGCTTAATGGCAGATGGATATTTCATTGCATAACTGTTTTCTTATGCTGGGTGCATTTGCCATTTCCATCTTCAGGAGTCGATCATCATCCTTGGCCACTCATTCCTTTTGTGGGCTGGCGGTCACTCCCTTCCACCATCCAGCAGGTGTGAAGCAGCTGGCGTGATAAAGACGGACTCAGTGGGGACATACCCGTCGAGGTGACCGTTCGAGCGGCTGGGTGACCTGTCCCACGGGATGGGCTCAGCCGTGCGGCGCTTCAGTCGGTGTGACCCGGTCACAGCCCAATGTCTCTAATGCATCTTGCCATACCATGGTCCCGATTCGTTCCTAATATGCGGCTCGAAATCATTCGTCGCTTTGAGTCATTCAAAGTTTTACGTACCTGTATGTATGTACGGTTATCTTAGCTTCTTATTAAATGATGCCAATATTGAGGACCAACTCTAAAATTATTAGATAGATAATTATTTTATCTTTTTGTCTTCAAAATTTTAAGAGCAAAATTTTAATGGTATGAATATATTTATCACTACCAACATAATCATTTTTTTTTTTGCATCTCAGCAAGTAAAACAAACCTTGGGTAATACGGTTTCGCGGTATGTATGCCAAACTTTGAGAGTCGTTAACAGGCCGATATTTACCTCATACTTTCATCGTGTCTTTCAAAGGCTCTCAAAGTTAAACACAGTAATAAGAGCACCTTTTCACCTCATCATCAGATTGATATCAGGCATTATCCAGCAGCATAACAAGGCCTGGCCGCCATCAGATGGAAACACACCCAATGGCGCTTGAAATACCAGCACGAGAAAGTAACCGAGCGTCCCAGCGATGGCATTTGTGACGAATTACGACCTCGTGTTGCAGAAGGCCCCACTCAGAGCGCACGCGGTGCTACCCAGGTATTAGCTATAGCCAATCTTCGCGGTGTTACGGCGAGGCTCGCTCGTGAGCCTTGTGCAACGAACTGGAGCCGGCTGCACTTACGCAAACAGTTGCTGCAGACGCGCTCGTGAGGTAGTACATTGCGATGATGTACAGACGTGCATTCTCTAATAAACGTAACAAGATCGTGAGCGGAATGATGTGAAATAGCATCCTACTTTTCATTGTTAGCTAGCCGTCTTCTAAGCCAACTCATCAGACCGTTCTATAAAGAACTGCCAATAATAGCAAACGGATGTGAGTGCCTGAAGGAAAATGGGACTGCGATGCACTTTCAACAATAAACATACCGATGTGAAAAACAAAATAAAATAAACAAACAAACACCCACAGCCCTGACTGACCAGCTGTCCGTCTCGGCAGCGGCTGACGGCCGCCGTCAGCTCGGTGCCCGCGTGCAGAAAGTGGCAGCTGCCCGCTCCAACGTCCAGCTGCCGGCTCGAGTTGCCGCCCAGCCGGGTGACCACGGTGCTGGCCTCGGTCAGCAGGTGACGGTTCGGCTCCAGCCGCAAACTGTACGGCCTGAGGAGAGAGGTGGAGGTGGTGGTGAGATATGGCCGGATACATGGGCATACGCAAAAACAATTTGAAAACGTTTGATACCCACCATTACATTATACAGGGTGATCCAAAAAAATTGGAACCCCTAACTTAAAATGTCTTTAAGTCAGAAAATTTTCACTTTATTGACACATTGCAAACACCATTAGGAAGACCGTTCAATTCTCTATAAAATCACGTTGATTGAACTTGATTATTATTATAAATATTGCCCTAGACATATACCTATAAAATTTGTGTCACGAAACTGAGTGAAACGGTTTTGAACATTATGCGCAAATCAGTGATTAACGGTTTGGTGTTCTGACCATGTCGCTTGTTGGAGGTTCATGAATAAAAATAGCTCATTCACGTGCTATTGTAAGGAAAGGAAAGGCTGACGGCCTACTGGGACCGTAGTAAAGTAATCTTGACTGGGACCAGTTGTCCCAGAGACTGCTGGTCCGCGCAGTCGGAGCTGTCCCCAAGCAACTGCAGGCCTGCGTGACGGCCCACGGAGCTCGCGTTGAGCACATGCTGGGATGAACAACGGAAGCTAGGACGCGTGTATCTGTTCTGCTGTGTGCTTCTGTGTAAACTTTTATGAAATAAAATTGAATTTGGATGTGGTGTTGTTCGTAAAAAGACAACAGATAGAGTGCTAACGGATTTCAGCGCATTGCTAACATTTGGCGATTTCGTTTCACTCAGTTTTCTGACGCTCATTCCAAAAACTAATAGTGTGCCAATGCTTTACAACATACATGCACCAATTTGACGTGATTTTATAGAGGATTTAATGCTCTTTCTAATGATATTCGCAATTTGTCAATAAAATGAATACTTTCGGACTTATAGACATTTTAAGTTAGGGGTTCCAATTTTTTTGGATCACCCTGTATATATGGATCTCGATATTCAGTTAATAAATTTCATACATAAACATATTGAAGCTTTGCATCGTAGGCCGAAGCATGACAAAACAGCGCCCAACATAAACCAATGTGACCGTAGACACTTCCTTATGTAAGGCTGCCTTTTATGTCAGTTACGCTGGGAAGAGCGGCATTAGAATGACGGCTATTCTGGCCGTCCCGCGGCGTTTATCCGTTCATACAGTCAATCGGCCTTCCGACACGTTTGCGGGCGCAGGGTATGACGGAGCCGGGCAGGGGGTGAGTGAAGTCAGCGGAATGCCACCCGGGGCCTCTAGCAGAGGAGCGGGAGATCCGAAGGACGCCACTCCTCCGAGCTTCATGGACATGCAGGGAGGAATCGCATAGCTCTATGAACGATTACTTGGAGAAAATGTGGACAAATCAGGGACCTGAAACGATGTGTGCCCATCAAATGGGTTAGTGCGGTTGTCTTGTGTTGTGCTTTTGTCACTTTGGGTTCTAACTCCTCAAAAAGCTTCACTACAAAAGGTGTCGCTTGCTATCATTTAATTTTAGAAGCTTGTTTGTTCCTTATCCAACCTCAATCTGAAGCTCTGCAGACCTCACTTTTGGTGGGTTACACCACATTGACCAGCGAGTCCAGATTATATGCCTCAAACTCTCTTGGAGCTTTTTTGTTGGTTTGTCTTTTCATGTCATGACCCAGTCGCGGGGGATTCTCGGTAGTGGATTGTGACTTTTAAGAAAGGGCTATAAGCTGATATAATAGCTGCAGTCTTGCCCCATGTTTTGTATGTGTATAATGTACTATATCGTGTGTGTATGAGCCGTAATGTCGCCTGCGTTCGACGCCTGCGATAATTTGGTATTGCTTTTTATATATATTCGTTTTAACATTTCAGAGCGAATACATAACAGGCCAGCTGCACTACTCTACAATGAGTTAACTCCTCTAGGATTAAACTCCCTAAACTCTCCCCACCTGTCGAACATTTGATCTGCGCCAAAAGCACGGCGATGCCGCTCAGCCCGCGATATGATCTCTCCTCTGAAAGAATGCGACCGCAAGCGGCCTCCAGCTGTGTGTTATACCTGATGCCCAATGCCCATAGCTCGATCATCTGTCAAAAGTACCGCTACCACTGACAGTGTGCATCGTGTCGCCCAACACCTTTATTCTAGCGGGATATAACTGATGATTGCAACATCAGGTGCCAAAAATAGTGATGCACAGTATCGTTGGGATTATTAACGAGGCTTCAGTGGCTTTATGAAAAAGGACTGTAACACGTTGAGTAAAAGACAAAATAAGAGCTCAAGCAAAGGTAAAATGAAGATGTCCTAAAAAAGGATAAAATCAACCTATGTTTCGTAATGTTTTGTCAATGAGTATTAAGTGAGGCCAATGGTTGATGCCGGGCTTCAATTAATCCCCTCAGTCACGTCTTTGTAAAGTTAAGTGTATGGTATTTTTGCAACGATTCTGGAGTCACTTCGAGATCTAATCCCGAAATATAACTGCATACGCGGCAAACCAAGTAGAAGCATCGACTGCGATATCACTTTTGTGTTGAAAATATGTGTAGGTATACCAAGACGATGTGTCACAATGCCACTGAGCGTTAAAAACCTCGATATGGCTATATAAAGGCGGTGTTGTAGTGTGTCCTCCCCACTCTTACTCCTCCCTCCCCCCCCCCACACACACACACTCGGCACGTGACCCTTCACGCCCCGTCCGCTCGCGGTACTCCACCGCCGCGACGTGCCCCGTTGTTTATACGGTAGCCCACCACTGCACTGCACGGCCGCTGCGGGATCCCCGAGCGGCCGCCTGAAACGGATACTGTGCCGCCGTACACGGTGATTTCCATGTCTCACATATAAGGAGCACCACGGAGCCGATCGGCGCCGCTTTACCTGCCCTCAGTCACGGCGGATGGCGTTGGGGTAGATCAGGACTCCGGGGGACTTGTGCTGATATATTCCTGTGTCGTATTACCCACTTAACATCACTTTTAACCCTCGCCGGCCGAGGGGGGGCGGGTGCCGCCCCCCCCATAGGGTTTTTCGCGATAGCTCCGAACACGCCGGCGGTAGAGAGCTGAAACTTGGCATACCTGACCTTTAATCCAAGCCGCATCTTTTGACACCAACCGCATTTTTGGGTCAGGTCAGGTCACTGACCTATGACGTCACAAGTAAACCTCTGCACGGTCTTCAGATGTCGCAACTTCGCAACGCCCTCACTGCCAGAGGAGATGTCACAGGGAAATGAAACTTGCAGGATCTAGTATCCATTATGAGTCTCACAACTTGTATATCTCGGATTTTTCCTAAAGGTCATATGAGGTCAGGTCATTTTCGTGACCTCACCATTATAAGTCAATGGGGAAAAATCCAAACTGCTATTCTGGCGCCGGGAACGATCTCCAACTATCTCAAGCACACAGAATCGTGATTTGATGCACTCCTTGCAAGGTTAGATGCGTCACTTTTGCAATGTTGACCTTTCGTGACGTCATTTATGACGTCATCAAGGTCATATTAGTTTTTCGTCAATAACTCTTGATCAAATTAAGCTAGCGAGCCGGGAAAGCCACCAATGGACTCAGGAAGACCTGCCGAATCGAATGATATGCGACATGACCCCTTTCGACCAACTTCGTGACCTTAGGGTGCTGACCTGACCTTGACCTGAGGTCAACACCCCAAGTTGATCTGACCCGAACAAAAAGTATATCATTCGACGCGCCTGAGCGAGGCGAACACGATGCTGCCAAAATCGCGGCTCTGCGGCCATTTTCCGCGAAGTTATTCACCAAAAACTGAGCCGTACCTTTGGGCACTTGACCTGACCTCAGAGGTCACCGGTTGACCTAGGACCTTAAAATCGGGTACCAATCTCTGCGTCTCGTAACGGCGCACACGCTCGTTTTTTCCGCGACGCGCTAGCTCCACCAGGGGCGAAACGGCGAGGGGGGGTCGTACCCGCCCCCCCCCCCCCCTCGGCCGGGGCGTATGTAGAAAACCAATAGGTCCGGCGAGGGTTAAAGAAAACTTATGGAAATTATTATATGCGCAAAACAAAAAAGACACAGAACCATTCGTGGAACAGTTCATTGGTGCCGTCATGAAGGGATCCCAATAATGGCTGTCATTTGGTGACTTCGTTGCCATCTCACTCACATATGCTCCGAACCTCACTGAGACTCACTGCTGAGAGTGTGTAGCCATTCATACGTAATACCAGCATCAGTCCGAGACTGTGTCCCTTCGGTCAGTGCTGGCCCACGGTGGCCCGTCAGTCTCGGCACCGTTACCTATATAAGTGCGCTGCAGGGGGATTACAATCCGTAAGATCACCGGTGGCGGAGACAGCACCACACACTGCCCCACCCCCTGGCCGTCTGAAGGGAGATAACAAATGCTAACTGGGACGCAGATGGTGCTGTTTCTAGCTACACTTACATTGTATATGTAGTAATTTGCCAGAACTTTAACAGCCATTGCCTCAATGGCCTAGTTCAATGGCTTACCGCCTCGCGCAATGGCGTGCTGCAGAGAAGAGGCAGAGAGTGATATGCACTCCATCCCATTTACCCAACCCCATTTTCCTCTAGTAACTACTCAGCATCCCACGCATGGACAGGGTCCAGGAATATTTGCTCTCAGATTTGGGCAGGAAACAATGGCTCATTTTCCTTGGAGATAACGTTTTGCAACTGCTGACTGCATGATTAAATCGGTGCTACACGCTGAATATGCTCAGGAAGGATACTGTGTGTTTGGTTTTAAGAGAAACATTATCTGTTTAGCTTGACATGAATATTTTACGAGGAAATTTTAATTAAGCATTAGTAATCTCGGTCACAAGCTTAATCCAATGTTAATTATAATTTCGGGTACTACGTGCGGATTTACTGCATTTTTCAGATTGAAATCTAAATTTGCAATTATTTAGCTCAAGTAAGTTTTGAGGCAGTCAGAGAGAAGGTAGACAAATACGGCCTCCTTGTCTGAACAAAAGTATCCAAAAGGTGTTAACTTAAAAACGTTATTCTTTTGACACTTCCTTGACAAATTATTTCACCAGTAATCTGACTCACTTTCCGAAGGCCTCAAAGACGAGGTCCTCCTCCTGCTGCTGACCGCTGACGTCCCTCTTGTGAATGCCGCCGCGCGGGCCTCGGTCGTTGATGAAGATGACCTCATACTCGGAGTCAGCCGTGCCCAGGAAGTGGCGCCACTCCGCATCGGTCATGTGCCGGTGAAGGTCGCGCAGGATCTGCAAACACACGGGGGAGGATCAACGGCAGGGTCTGCGAAATGCGGGGGAGGGCTAGACGGCAGGGTCTGCGAAATGCGTAGGAGGGTTAGACACAGAATCTGCCAAATGCGGGGGAGGGTTAGACGGCAGGGTCTGCCAAATGCGGGGGAGGGTTAGACACAGAATCTGCCAAATGCGGGGAGGGTTAGATGTAGGATCTGCAACAATGCGGAGGCGGGTTAGACGCAGTATCCGCAGAGATATGGGCAGTGTTGGACGCAAAATCCGCGGATATATGTTCATGTAATCAGTGAGAGACGCAGAAGGTGCAGCGACATGGTGCGGGGGACGATTATTAACAGCCGCTGACATCAGCACTTCAATAGTGCCAGTGAACGGGACATCAAGGCCGCGGCTCTCCGGATGATATGACCTAAGATGTGTATATGTACGGCTGATGTATGTCATCGGTTTCTTTTAAAGCACCAGGGGATTTTATTTTCCATTTTATTAAGCTGCTTTACCGGCATCTCGAGCAGTAAAAAAAGAGTCAGAGGCCAGGAAAAGAGTGGTAGGTTCCCTGTATGGTCAGGATCAGTCATATCTCACGCATTGCAAGCAGCTTTGATAGCGGGATATTTACGAGAAATAGCAGAGACTGTGTTGATTGTTGACGATAAGTTGAGCTGTATCTGAAGCGGTACTAAGTCAAGCGGACTTTACCAGTCCCGTATTTACAACGGCTATGAGATATAAGAGAAACATTGCGTTTCCGATTTCGTGCCGGATTGTGCATATTGCATGCACATATTAGAGTGACACAGATTTCCATATCTTCACATAAGCACTTGCTTGACATAGAGACAGTTAATGCTGAAATTGATATAAAAACTGAAAATGTATGCTTCAATTTTCCTTCAGCCTTGAGGATTATTGCATGCAGTCACTGATTTCCATGCAGTTGTATTACAGGCATTTATCTTTCATCATTAACATTTGTGTTTTAACCCGCGCGGGGCTGGGGTCTCCAGCCGAACGCGCGGGGCTGGGGGGGGGGGTAAATTTTACCCCCCCTGTTATCTCCCGAACTAATGGTCCGATTTGGAAAATTCAAACGCCAATCGAAAGATCTCATCACGAACAACTAAAAACATGTACTTAATTTCAAGTTTGAGGTCAAGGTCAAGGTCAGGTCAAGGGTACAAATTGCAAGTTCCTACAGTATAGGCCTTGCACCGTAGTTGCCGAGGAATGGAGTCATGGACTGAGACTGATCGCCCAAAACGTGTTCTTAGGCTACCAAGACAATATTCGTTGCATACAATATCATTCAGAGGTCAAGGTCAAGGTCAGGTCAGGTCAGGTCAGGTCACCAAACACAAAATATAGAAAAGGGCATGTGCGACACATGTTTTATGGGTCATTTTACTCATAGAATTCAATAGGCACACTCAATAAGTGATATGGACCACCTCAGGATGAATTTCAGGTCGAGGTCAGGTCAAGGTCAGGTCAAGTGAGGTCAAATTTTGAAGTTGGTTGTTAAGGCCTAAAAAGGTGTCTATCTGATGCAGTTTTTCACGGCGAATCGAATGGTGCTATTTTTGTTTCCGTACGAGGTCTAGAACTTCCAAAAAAGTCATTTTTCAAAATTTTTGTGTGTCGTGACGTCATACAATTTTGAATAACTCCCACATTTTTTAACCGATTCTTCTAAAACTTGGTGTGTAGGTGCACATAGACCACTTCTCTGACATATATTCCGGTTTTTTTGATACACTCAATATTTTGGATTTTATAGCTATTTTCCCAAAAAAGTCAGTTTTTTGAAAAAATTTGGGCCAAAATCCAAAATTTTCAAAAAACCGAGATAGCCATTTGATAGACAAAGTAGAATTACGTATATCCTTTTTTTGTTGCGTCTTAATTCCTTTAAAAATGAAGATGTTAGCGGCGTTTGAACTTTTGCCGTTTTTGAGGCGAAAATGGCGAACATGACGTCACTAAAACGTCAATTTCTCAAAAATTTTCCGACGGATTTCGCTCAAATTTTCAGGGAACGTGTCAAATTGATGTAAGAAAAGGTACTGAAAGTTTGGCGGCGCTGCGCGCCGCCGTTTTTGAGATATTCCAAAAATTCGTGAGGGGGGGTAAAATTTACCCCCCCCAGCCCCGCGCGGGTTAATCCGGTACATTCTGGATAAACATAAAGTAACTATTTTGAACTTGTAGGCAACGAGCCATTATACAACGTGTAAAAAGCTACATCGAAAATACATAATTATGTGTAGAGTCTGACTGATTTATCTATCAAACAGTTATTCGGGTAAGTAGGTAGGTACTTACATATCAGTGTAGATTGCACCAATGTGTCCAGTGAGTAAAGTTACAGCCACCGCCGACCAGAAGTATGCCTACGTAATAAGACATTCGCGGACGAATCATCGATTTCGTATCGGACAGGACGAGATTGTTGGTTAGGCAATCGATTTTTTGCAGGCTTACGGCTATTTTTTCTCAGGGACACGGCATTAGCCTAATAGCTTGCATCACTGCTGGGCGAGGCTCTTATAGCGCCGTTTATGTTTCCTTTTGATAATCGTTTCAGCCGCCTCAAAATGCGGATATTATACAATGCACACAGGTATAGCTAAAAGGCTGGGTGTGAAAAGTCATGATCAATCAATCTTTATGATTACGGTACTACCTTGACGAGCGTTCACACTTATGACTCATTTATTGCTCATCTTCTCAGCCTAGTTCCGCATCAAGATGCTTCCTGCCACTGGTCCCACGCGGTGAGCGAGTTGTTCCGTCACCAGAGTCGTGAGGCTGGCGCAGTTACGACTGCACCCCCGGCGGCCGGTACTGAGTGCTGAGCACGCCACTCGGCCTTGGCTTGGCTGACCATGAGGGCCCGGCCCTACTAAGTGCTAATCACGCTGTTTGGCTACACCATATTGATAACGGTTTCTTTCTTTGGACGAGCGTGTATTGACATCAAGGAATCATTTGCCACGGATAACAGCACAAATAATGAATGACTTTATTCGTGCAAAACATTAGGAATTGTTCAGCAGCTAATTGTATTTTCGCCTCAGCAAATGTCGTGAATGACACTGAGCTCATTGATAGACGATAAGATATGAACCAACACTTTTTGAGATTGGAGAAATGTGGACGAACAGTCGTTGGACCCAGGACAAGAAAATGCATACCTTGAAAGGAAGCTTTCTTTGCCCAGGTACAGCTGCATAGTTCATGAATTTATAATTGCGCATAAAACTTTTCTGGGCTCCACATAAATGCATGACAAGGCTGATCACCAAAATTTATATTATGCATGCTTTATCACGCATCATTATACATTAAGTGCTAAAGGTGGCAATTTAGGTTGTTCACAGGAGCATCCTCCGTCTTTAAACAGCTGATATCCGTAGCCGTGCGTAAGTGAGCAGTTTAACCATTATCGACAGCAGTGCACACCGGTGCAGACGGGCCCAGCTGCAGCGGTACCCGATACGGTCAGCCGGAAATTGGCGGTCTTATTCGAACAGCCCGGCCGCTAATCCACTCCTTTCTCGTCGTGAGCATCAGCTGGCAATGTGGCAGAACCGGCGCCGCTGGCAAACAGGCCCGGCCGGCTGGGGCGACTTTCTCTGTGTGCGGTAAGCCGCGGAGGCCGGTCGACCCGGCGCGGGACAAGGTCAGTGGTCTCACTCTGGGGGGGGGGACGCCGTGTCACCCATCAGGGACGGCCGCTCCCCACTCCTTCGCCGCGTCCTTCCATTGCTGAGAGTCTCCGCACAGCTTTGTGGGAGTTCTTCTGTTCCTCATGCACCCGGATTTGTAAATTTCTGGGGCCGGAGAGTCCCGAAACACGTCTCTTTTTATGCATCCGTGATTTTTCCAGCCAAGGAACACTGAACTTCTTGGATCATCCGTGCTTCCAAACGTCTGAGAGAATCTGACCACTGCAACTGGATCAGGCGAAGACCGTGGTCTTCGCCTGATCCAGAGGTCAGATTCAATACAGCCACAAACTATGAACAGCTGGAGTCCCGAACCCCTGCTCCCTCGCCACCCCTACTCCCCGTCCCAGCACATAGCAGGGCGGATGCCCCAGTTTACCCTGCGCCCGATCAGAACAGAGCCTCACTGAGTACCCCAGCATGTCAGCAGGTATGTTGCAACAATGACCGGCACTGGAGCAGGGCTGGTGAACACTACCGCTCCCCTCCCAGCTCCAGTCGGGAAGTGAGCCGGCCGCAGCCCTGACCCAGGACAGACCGCGCGGACGGCGGCGCCGCGCCGCTGTGTTGACCCACCACTCGAGGTGCGCAGCTGCTCGGAAACACTCGTCACACTGACCCAGTGCAGAGGCACACGCCGCGGCGCGGGGGGGGAGACCCACAACGTCACGTGGCCCTACAGCGCGGCGCGGAATGTGTCCCTTCCCTACACTCATGCAGCTTTTCCTCAGCATGTGTACGGCCTTGAGCATGTGTGGTGGAACAGCTTGTCGGCGCACTCTGGAGAGGAACCAGAGGAAACGGAATGGACTATCTAAAATGAGATGGAGATAATCAAAAGAAGCGAGCTGGAACAAAATGGAACGGGATGGAACTATCTGTAAAGAGATGTGGGCAATGGAACAAGTGGGACATAAAGCGATGAAAAGAAAACAATTAAATAGAATGGGATGACGGAATGAAGACTGAAGCAATTAAATGAGAGGAAAGTTCGAAGAAAGTAATACTAATCGAATGCATCCAACCGGAACTGAACAGAAGGTAGGAAGCTAAATAAAGAAGCACACCTGGCCAAGCGAGATGAAATCGATGCAAATTTACGATGGCATGGGTCAACAGCCAATTTGATCTTATTCGTTAAACCTTGCACCTCAAACCAAAGTCATGTCTATCTCTACCCTGTTAAAAGAGTAGAACGGAACAGAATTGGACCAGATTCGGACCAATTGTGAGAGTTCCCTGCGACCCAAGGCTTTGCCAGCTAACTTTAAACAGGACCCTGGCAAAAAAGCGAACTATTAACTGGCATTTAAACTGGACCCTGCAGTTTAAATGCCGCCGTATAACTCCACATGCTATTCAGGGTACAGTCTGTCTTAAAAGTACCGCGCAAAGTGGCGGTGGATCCATCAAGCCTGACCGAGAAAGGGTCTGTTTTAATTTGAAAGTCACCGACCAATTGACCTAAGGAATGGACGAGGATGTCAATTGCTTCGGTGACCCAAATTTAGCACGCCCTTCCTCAGTCAGGCTCGATGGATCCACCGTCACTTTGCGCGGTACTTTTAAGACAGACTGTACACCAGCATCAGATATTTGGTGTAGCTGACATGCCTGTAATCATAACACTTCAAATGAGCAGACACAATTTATCGGGGTTATGCAAAGACTCACGAGCGCCTGCTCATCCTCCGCTGTTGGGGTGAAGGCCGGTGCCGGAGCATATGTCGTGATTGGTATGCAGTTAGCATGGCTCGCCCGGGTGGACTGGGATGGACTTCCCATCCATCCGAAAAGGGAAGGTCATCTCCAATTCATGGTCATTGTAAACCGACTGCAGCACAACGTAAACAAAACAGCAGATACTTCGGTTGATGGCCAACTGCAATTATGCAATTTATGATCAAGTCGGACTTGTGCAATTATACTGTTGTGTTGTTCTCGTCTTCTGTGTTATGCTGTTGGCGATGCATAGATGAAAATGGCCCTCAGAACTATTCATTCAGGAAATTGATGATCCTATCCAGCATCAGGAATAAGACCTGATATGATCAACAGCACTCGTAAACTTATCTGCAGATGAAAAACGAATGTTAACCCGCGAGTTGCTGGGGGGGGGGCGTTAAACGCCCCCACTTTTTTCGCCGGGCCATAGCATAAAACGGCGCGCCGCAGGCGCGCCAAATTTTGGGTACCTGTAGGAAATTGATTGAAGTCTATTGTGACAAAATTTCAAAAAAATCAGTCGGAAAAATTTTGAGATATCGAGGTTTTAGTGACGTCGTGATTTCTGAGTTTTCGACCAAAAACGGCATATGTTCAAAAAATCATATAAAATCACAGAATAGACATACAGACATGCCATAAACGGCATTAGACTGCCAATACCATGAACAATCAAATGGCTATCTTCGATTATTGATTATCGTTTCGCATTTGCCAAAATCTTGATCTGAATCTTGGCAATTTCTCGTGACTACTTCACGACCATGATACATACATATCTTAAATTGAACTTTTTGAGCCAAACACGTACACATATGATAAAATGAATGTCACCATCGTGTTCTACGCCCCAAATTACCCATAAAACATGTGTCACAGGCTGCGAATATCAGTTTTGATTTTCGGGGATATGTGCCTACCCGGTTGACCTGACCTTGACCCTGACCTATGCTTGACTGACCCCTACATGGGGCTGACACTCTTGTAGGCCTTATATGATGGATTGTGCACCGTTTTGACAGAGTTTATGACGAGAGGCGCTCATTGCGAAGTCCTGAAGTCCATGCTACTGAAAGCCCGATTTCAGGTGTTTGACCTGACCTTGACCCAACCTGTGACCTCAAAATTCAACTTTAAAGTACTCATCTGAAGCGTCTCGTCGCGCTCTTTCGTTTGCCGCCTCGTGCGTTTCGCTGCGCCTATTGGTTCTCGAGTTATCGGCTGGGGGCGTTTAACGCCCCCCCCCCCCCCCCCAGCAAACGGTGGGTGGCGAATTACCCCAGCAACTGCCGGGTTAAGGCGATCAGCCTGCTCATTGGATTTTTCAGGAGACCAATACTCTGCAATGTCAGGACTCATTACAATGGCAATGTTTGATTATTATCGTCAACATAAACAACTTAACAACACTATCACATGAACTTCTTATCTTATGCCTGTGAATGACGGTGTATTCGCTCAACCACAATCACATCAGACGGCCTCGGCCGCCGTTACTGACCTCTGCCCTGGCGGTTAGTGCCACGAGCACCAGTACGATGACGGTTGTAACCATCCTCGGTGCCATCCTGTACGTGACTTCCGGGCGACAGACGTGAGCGCAGGTCACCGCCTCGACCGCAGGAGCCCGCTCACACAGCCGGCGCAGGTCACCGAGCGTAGGTCACTGAGCTTAGGTCACGGAGCGAGGTCACGCAGCACAGGTCACGGAGCGCAGGTCACCGGTCACGACCCACTCACGACTCACGGAGAGCGGGCTCCACTCACGGCGCCGTCCGCGGGTCACGTGCCGTCGCCACCAGTGTCGTCCGTCCGCCGCCGGCACGTGCACTCATAGCGCGCTCGCGCCGCACGTGGCACGTGGTGTGTACGTGGCGCGCCTGCGAGCCGCGAGCTGCCTCTGCCGGGCGGCGGACTGCAGCTGGCTGGACGGGGCCGGACTCGGCGCGCGACTGACGACCGACCCGCGGCGGCGCGGCGCGGCGGTGACCGGCCGAGCAGCCGGCGGCGGCGAGCCGGGCCGCTGCCGGTCCCAACCCACCCCCGGGGCTCACACCCGACAAAGCGCGACCTTCGGGATGTCGCCGGAGCAGCGCTGATGAGCGGCGATACGGCGGAACGGTGGGAGATTCTGACACGCGCACGAATCGCCTCGGGAACGTCCGGGTCAGGGGTGGGGCCCGATCAGTTACCGACCGACCTGCCGCGCGGAAAGTGGAGCGGCCGCGCGACAGGAAATCAGCCGACTGATCATCGCCGTATAGTAGGCGCCGCCCGCTGCCAGGAAAGGACGCCTTCCGTTCTCAATTGGGCAGGAGTGTGACAGTGAGAGTGGTTTTAGAGAGGTGGCACGTGCGGCCGCCGGTCGAACGGTGCTGATCAGTCGTGAACATACCGTGAACAGCCGTGAACACCGCGTGAACAGCCGTGAACCCAGCGGTGCCGGTATCAACGCCACAATGTAAACACAGAGTGATCCAGCCGAGGTGGCTTTTGCTGGTTAGCAGACCATTGGGAGATGCGAAGAATGATTGAAATGACTTGCACTGAGAAATGAGTTGTTTATGGGTCGACTGCAGACGGTCGACCTTGTTTGCTTGCTCCTGAGTGCTTATTGGCCGTTTTCACGACGCCCGACGGGCTATCCGGCGAGTGCACCTGATTTGACCAAATCTGCACCTAATCTCTTTTACAGCAAATATCTGTATTTTATGAATTTATTTCAGTGTTTTCATCGATGATACTCTCTGATATATGACAAGGCAGGCATATAAGCAATTAGTGCAACCCTAGCTGATAGCTAGTTAGAGACACACTGAACCTGACTTGACCAAATCTGCATCTGATCTGCACCAAATGTGCGCCAGATGTGTACCAGATGGCCGTCGTGAAAACGGCTAATATGCATGAATTTGGAAGCAAATGTTCCGCTGCTTGAATTGGTACACTTTTATCTGGACAGTCAGACTATCTCATCAGACATGGTCGCTGAGCTGATGGAAATCAGCATGGTTCGGCGTTACACGGCCTGTTGGCGATCGTGGCTCTGTGCATCCATGCGTCACTCACGGAGCTAAATTCAGCCTTGACGGAGGCCAATCATCGTCGTAGTTAGCCTTGATCGGTTTCTATAGCAACCAATCGCGACTTGACCACGATGACTTGTTAGCGATTAGAGCGTGCGCACGATAAGCGCTGCGGCGAGACGATTGCATGTAACGCGCGCAACAGCGATACCCTCCAATCGCTCCTCAACGGCCTTCGCATATCCTCGGATAATGTGTGGGTTATCGGTGATTTTCGACGTCAATCGGTCCTTTGTAGCACGTTTGCACCGCACATTTGTTAATGGTGTGTTGCAAGGGGAAGTCCGGTCCGGCTTCATTGCACGCATGCAGGAAATTGGGTGAGCTGGAAAGAGAAAGCAGGACAGATGAAGAGTCGAAAGCAACTCATGTTCAAGGAAGAAATATGGTGTCACTCGTACCTGCATATTTACGTCTTTGCAAGAGTAATCCCACACATAAGCCTAATAATTACAATGCTCTGTGAAAACAACATTTCCCATGTGATCATCGCACTTCAGTCCGGCTTATAGCGGGATTTTGTATCTAGACCGATTTCTATTATGCGATTAGTGTAGCACCTTTTCACTGCAAGAAACCGCAATCTCTTGTATACTATACAACATCTGTCTGTACGCAGCAGCCTTCACATCGTGGAGCGGTAGGATAAGTAGTATTGTTGAGAACAAAATAATAAAACTAAAGACAGTTTGCAATAGTACGGTGAGATACAGTACAGGGGAGTACAGTTTACAATAATAAGCTAGGTTTTAGTTGTCGTTAAAATGCCGAAGTTGATTCAATTTTAAGTTTTTGTTGATAAAGCCTCGTCTGACGCCTATTAGTTTTCTACAAGTGCCCAGGACGAGGGGGTACGCCCCCCCCCCCTCCTCGCCGTTTCGCTCCTAATTGAGCTAGAGGCTCACGGAAAAAAAACGAGCGTGTGCGGCGTGCGCCGTTACGAGACTCAGCAATTGGTACCCGATTCAAGGTCTCAGGTCAACCGGTGACCTCACGAGGTCAGATGAAGTGCCCTAAGGCACGGCTTCGGATTTTGGTTAAAAAAAACACACTCCACCAAAAGTGGTCGCCGCAATTTTGGCATCGTCGTGTTTGTCTAACACAGGCGCGTCGAATAATATACTTTTTATTTGGGTGAGGTCAGCTTAATTAAGGTGTTGACCTCGGGTCAAGTTCAGGTCAGAGTTGCGGAGCCCCAAGTTTGGCACCATCGTGTTTGTCTAACACGCGCGTCGAATAATATACCTACTTTTTAGTTGGGTGAGGTGAGCTTAATTAAGGTGTTGACCTCGGGTCAAGGTCAGGTCAGAGTCCTTCAGGTAAGGAAGCTGGTCTAGGAGGTCATGTCGTAGACCATTCGCTTCGGCAGGTCTTCCTGAGTCCATTGGTGGCTTTCCCGACTCGCTAGCTTAACCCTCGCATGTGTAGGGGGTCGGATGGACCCCCCCCCCATGGTTTTTCGCGAATAACTCGCGTAAAAAGCGGCCGATCGCGACGAAACTTTCAGTACCCTCGCATTGATCAATTTTACACCTACCCTTAAAATTTCATGACCCTGACCCAAATGACCTTTGACCTGTGACCTCTTTTCCGAGATCATGTTTGGTCGGAATCGCGATTCCGCGTATGTCGGCTCGCATTAGCCGCGCGTTTGCAAGCTTTTCGTGGTTTCAAACGTTCAAACATGTGATTTGATGTGATTTGATGTGTGAGATGATGTGATTTGATGTTGCTCCCATGCATTAGGGTGGGTGTCAAGGTCACCTGAAGGTCAGGTCAGGTCATTGACCTTTGGTGACCTCGGGTGACCTCGGTTCACGTTTTCGAGTTTTACATGTTTCTAGGCTAGTTTTTGGAGCTGAACTCGAATTTAGCAACCATTTGGACATTTACGAAGTAGTTTTGGTGCCTTCGTAACATGTTACGAAGCTGTCAGAGGCGGTTGACACGTACTACGAATACCCGTCACAACCCCTACTGGTTGACCTGACCTGACCTGACCCGACCTGGTCTAAATGCTTGAAGACATCATCTGTGATCAAAACTAACACGATATTCGTGAACAGCACCCCGAAAAACCCCTTAGCAGCCACACTTTACGACTTTCTAATAGGTCCCGATTTTCCCGACTTTGGGTCATTGACCTGACCTGGAAGGTCAACCAATGACCTAGGACCCAAAAATTGGGTATCATCGGCTTCCTCTCGTCACGGGCAACACGCTCGTCTTTTCCGCCAAGCTCTAGCTCGATCAGGGGCCAAACGGCAAGGGGGGTCCAACCGACCCCCCCCCTACACATTAGAAGCTGGCAAACGCCGCACACATGCGAGGGTTAATCTGATCGGGATCTTAGGACCTGCAGAGGTTCACTTATTACGGTTCACTTATCACTTAACCCGCGCCCTGGTAGGGTCTGTTTATAACGCGACCTGGTGGGGGGGGGCTATTTTTTGCCCCCCCCCCTCGTATCTCCGAAACTACTGGACGGATCCGAAAAATTCAAACGGCGTTCGAAAGGCCTGTCAAATTTGTCGAAGGAACAAATTTCATTGACCTCGGGGTCACCGATGACGTCACAGGTCAGGTCAAAGATGAAATGTTTCACCGTTGACGGGTCTTCTAGGGAATGCGCTATAACACCAAGGAAAACGCATTTTGTCGAGAATCAGCGGTAGGGCGTCAGTTGCCTAGTAGATATGTTGCTATTAGAGGTCACTGGCAATACCAGGTCAGGACACAGGTCAGGTCACCAAGGGTCACAGGTCAGGTCATATGAGCCCAACTTTACTAAGGTTGTGTGATACATGTTTTATGGCCAATTTTTCATTTCCAACTCAATGGTGTTGGTTATAAGACTATCAGGTACGGCTTAGGTCACTTTCTGGTGAAGTTCAGGTCAAGGTCAGGTCAAGGTCAGGCCAAAAAAGGTCAAATTTTAAAGTTGATAGTTTTGCATAAAATGGGTATTGATTCGATGCAGCTCGTCACGGGGAGTCTAATGGTGGTCTTTGTTTTGCGCTACGGGGTCTAGAATTGCTAAAAATTGAGTTTGAAAATTTGACGTCATCAATTTTGAACAGTTTTTTCGCTATAACTTCGCCAAAAAAAGAGGTATCGATCTCAAATTTGGTATGTGGATGGAAGGCGGTAAGGACTATCACATATATTCCGGTTTTTGCGAAATTCGAAAAACTTTTGGATTTTTCGATTATTATTTCCAAAAAATCTATTTTTTGATTTTTGGGGGTCAAAATCCAAAAATTTCAAAAATTCGAGATAGCAGTTTTGTAGCCCTGTCCAATCTACAGCTTTTATGTCTTTATCATTTTTCTGTATTTGCAAAGCTATAGGCCTGACAGCTCTTCCCGCGAAACCCTTTTTTAGGTCGAAAACGGCAGAACATGACGTCACTCTGACGTCATTTCCGGCCAACCTATCATGGCCTTTGGAAAAATTTTTGGTCACAATGTGTAAAATTGATGTCCGGGAGGGTACTGAAAGTTTGGTGACGATCGGCGCAGCGGTTCTGGAGATATATCGAAAAGTCTGGAGGGGGGGCAAAAAATAGCCCCCCCCCCCCCACCAGGTCGCGGGTTAATGACCTGACCTGACCTGAAAATTCGGTTGGCGTCAAAAGATCCGACTTAAAGCAAAAGTCAGGTATGCCAAGTTTCAGCATGATATCGCCGGCGTGTTCGGAGCTATCGGAAAAAAAACTATGAAGAGGGGGGCGGGTAGCACCTGTCCCCCCTCTGCCGGCGAGGGTTAAAAATGTAATTTTTGGCAAATGTTGTTTGACGATTTTGGCATTAGATTGCTCAGCCAATGATCAAGGCAAGCTACATGTTTTGA